GGGGGTGATATGTTGGGGGGACAGGCACATTGCGGTGAGAAAATCTTGCTTGTGGCTAGATTATCTTCAACGTTCTTGATGCCTCTAGTACTTTCATAGAGGCTGCTGTCTTTATTTCAAGGATAGTCACTCAGTATGGCTGGTCCACCACACGGTGATGATGCCTTAATGAGAGATTTTTGACAAGAATCCCTCTGATAGTAAACAGACCTTTCATTTGCCATTGCAGGTTTTTGGACGGGCAGTGCCCCATGCCCGGCTGGCTCTGCTGTCAGCGTCGGTATTTGCTCAGAGTGACAGACAAGAGAAAGGACTTCGAGTTGACCAGGTACCTCTCTTGTGTTATTGCAAAGCGAATTCTTTCTGCATTTATTATGGTCAGAAAACCTGATGTTTAATTTTTATTGATGCTTCACGGGGTAAAAGTTGAATTTGAATAGCACTTCACTGTCTGTGGGAATCACTTTGCACCCTCTTGATTATCTATTGACAGAACCGTTCCTTTAATACTGACTAATCAAATCCCAGGTTGAACTTGTCATTGGTATCTGATGCCCTATTTATCTTCCTTTTAAGTCAAACATTCCTAATTTTATATCCCCACTTCTGGTGGCTATGCTTTCGGCTGCTTGGATCCTCAATTCTGGAATTGCTTCGCTCCGAGCGTGCTTTGTCCCTTAAGATTTCCCAACTTCAAAGTTCCTCATTAACGAAGCTTTTCATCACCTGACTGTATCTCCTCCTGTGGCTCAATGTCTGATAAAAGTCTTTGGGATGATTTCCTGCATTAAAAGACCAATATTATTCCACATTCTTATTGTTGTTCCAAACCAATGGGAATAACATTCATAAAAGGAGCATTCTTTTGACCGCTGAGGTTAAGGAAGGGAATTCTTACAAAAGGTACATATCTTAAAGAGTCTGACAGCACAGAAGCAGACCCTTCAGCCCAACTTGTCCATGTCTACCAGGTTTCCTAAAATGACTGCTCCCATTTTATTTGGGAGGGCCCTTTATGAGAGAGGGTCTTTTACTGCATTGGAGGCAAAGTGGTCCCAAACCCTTCCCTAAGGCCCGATCTGAGCCAGTCCTTTGCTCTCTTGTGATTCTTAATGCTTGCCCCTTTGCCCTTGCTGTGTTCAACCACAAGCACAGGGGCTTTCTGACCCCCTTCACCTCCCACCTCAACCTGTCCTACTCCCTCTGATACTGTCACATGGCCTCGCTGTGTCTGCCCTCTTCTGGCAGCTACGCCCAGGGCTCATTTCTGTCTGGTCAGCTATTACCTAAGATCAGCCCAGTGTCTTACCGACTGAAGCACTGCCCAGCTCCTGCTCCAGCAAAGTTCTGACCCTTTTGTCTCCTGTCATCATGCTCTGCTTTTCCCCCTCCTTCCCCCTTTGCTACCTCCTGGCCTTGGACCTGACAGGCTGCAGCCTTTCCAAAACTGTGCCCCTCATTGCTACCCAGTCAGACCAGCACTAGGGAAGCACGAGCAGAAAAAAAAAGACTGTCAGGAAGGTTAACCAGAATCATGAAGAATGCTCAGAAAACCATCACCTTTGCTGGACATCCATAAATCCATCTGAACATTGAATTAAAATGCCATTTTCAGTATCTACCTCTCAAACCTATCTCACAGCGAGAGTTATATCTGTGAGAGAGCATTGACAGACCAACTGAAACTACAGGCAATATCATTTTAAACTGACACGGGGACTTAGGGGGAGAGTGGCTCAGTGGGATTAGTTTGGGATTGATACAGAACTGTGGGGAAAGAGCGGGGCAGTGTTATTAATTTGGGATTGATGCTGGGCAATGGGGAGACAATGGAGCATGGGATTAATTGGCAATGGATACAGAGTTTGCCAAGAGAGTGGGACAGTGGGATTAGTTTGGATTGATACAGGGCTATGGGGAAACAGTGGAGCATGGGATTAATTTGCAATGGATACAGAGGTGTGCTGAGAGAATGGGACAGTGTGATTAGTTTGGGATTGATACAGGGCTATGGGGACAGAGTGGGATATGGGATTATTTGGGATTCATATAGGCCTATAGGTAGAGAGTGGGATTAGTTTGGGATTGTAACAGGCTACCAATAGAGGACTCTGTGAATATATATTCTGTTTTAGTAACCTTTACATGTTCAACTGGACAGTTGTTTTACTCCTGATAGCTAGTCAGTGAAGAAAGACACCAAGCCAGCTTTCCTTGGTATAGATTTATTTGCAGAGTGGAACATTACAAGTACACACCTCCTAGCTTGATTCACTCCCTATGTCAATAAGTATTGCTTTACAGAAATATTATTTTTAATCAATTTGTTCACACATGTTATGATGTACCTCTGGGGAGATGGGATTTGAACCTGGACTTTTGGCCCAGAGGTAGGGACACTACCACTGCACCTCTTTCAGGATCTCTGCACATGTGCTCAAGTAACCTTATCATTGCCATCTGCCTCTTTATTTACCCTCGATTGATGCAATGTATAGTATAGGAGTTGTGACATTATGTTGTGGTTAGACAGGACATTGGTAAGACCTCTTTTCTAGTACTGTGTAAAGATTTGGTCACGATTATAGGAAGGATATTATTAAGATGGAGAGGGTTCAGAAGAGATTTACCAGGATTTTTGCTGGGGAATGGAGGGTTTGAGTTATAAGGAGAGGCTGGATAGGCTGGAACTTTTTTCACTGGAACATAGCAGGTGGAGGGATGACCTTATGGAGGTTTATGAAATCATGAGGGGTATAGATAAGGTGAATGGCAGGTGTTTTTTTTCCTTTGGGTAGGGCATTTCAAGAGCAGGGGACATATTTTTAAGGTGAGCGGAGAAAGATTTATAAAAGACATGAAGGGCAATTTTTTTTTACACAGAGAGTAGTTTGTATATGGAACGAACTTCCAGAGGAAGTGGTGGATGCATTACAGTTGCAACATTTAAAAGGCATTTAGATAAGTACGTGAATAAGAAATGTTTGGAGGGATCAAGTGCAGGCACGTGGGATTGGTTTACTTTGGGCTTATGGTGGGCATGGACCGGTTGGACCCTGTATGACTCTATGACTCGATGTCTGCCAGTAACCTTTCTTCATCGTTGGTTTGCAGTTGTCACTTTACACAACCCCGGACAAAAACTATCAATTTGTGGAGGCAAAACCAAGCCAGCTGGAAGAGAAAATCTCAGAACTCCGAAAGTTAACTACTGCGCACACCACAGGGCTCCAGGTACTGCAGAATTCTCACACTCTGTCCTCTGCAGGAGGAGTTTTGCAATGCTTTGAAGCTACTGTGCTCGGTATTACAGTTCCTGCCCACCTTGTTGCCTCAAGGAACAAGAATGACAATTGTGGTTCTGCTTCTGCCAAAATCACGCGTGTCGAGACCTTTGGGTTCACCAGTTGTTTCTTCCCTATTGTTGAGTATTTTTCGGGACGGGAGAGAACTGGTTTAAACTCTAGGCTGATGCCCTGTTCCACATTATGCATGGATCAACTACCGCTGAAGGGGGGAGGTTTCCACTGTAAAGACGTTCTGAATCCAAGCATTGCAACTGTGATCCTGAAGAGATCAATACATGGGAGCTTTGAGAAACCATGTTTTGCTTCTCTTTGGTTTGACCCTGGCCAAACCCCAAGAAAAAGACATTCTGATAATTATCCCACTGCGTGTTAATGAGTCTTCAGCTTTATGTTTCGGTGTTATGCTGATCACGGTGACTGACAAATTCCCTTCCTGAAGATCGTGATCTGTTTCGGTGGATGGAAGGCGAAAACATTGCTGATTCAAGAGTCTAGCCAATGGTGCCTACATCCTGGAAAAGAGCAGGTTGTGAGGGATTAGTGAATCCCTTCTCACCAACTTTGAGACTGTCTATTCAGCCTCCGCTGCTGTCAAACTTCCCTCTTCCTGCTTCCAAAGCCAAATATCCTAATTCTGCCCTCGCCTTACGCCAAGAAATGTTCGATTTACTTCATGTGACATCAAGAAACGGTTGGATACTGCAAAGGCTATGGGCCGTGACAACATTCCAGCAATAGTACTGAAGACTTGTGCTCCAACTCGCCACTCACCTAGCCAAGCTATTCCAGTGCAGCTACAACACTGGCATCTACCCGACAATGTGGAAAATTGCCCAAGTATGTCCTGTACAAATTTAATCTGGCTAATTACCGCCACATCAGGCTCCTCTTGATCGTCAGTAAAGTGATGGAAGGGTCATTGAAACTGCTGGCAAGAGGCATTTGTTCAGCAATAAACTGCTCAATGATGTTAGTTTGGGGTTCTGCCAGGGTGACAGAATGTTCGCCTATGATTGCACAATGTTGGGACCATTTGCAACTCCTCAGATATTGAAGCAGTCCATGTCCAAACGCAACAAAACTGGGACACTATCCAGGGCTGATAATGTTACATGCCACTTCATGCCTCATAAGTGTCAGGCAATGATGATATCCAACAAAAGAGAATCTGAGCCATCACCCCTTGACATTCAGTGGCCTTAGCAATGCTGAATCCTCCACATCCTGGGATTTTTTGTTTGGGACGGAGCCTCTTCTCCCTTCTCCTCTATATCTGACTGACTAACAACCCAAATGCAGTAACCTTCTCCATCTGACTGACTAAATTGGTGGTTCAGTAACCCTTCAACAATTCTGAGCGACCCTTTGAAAAACTTTGCAGCCAATCCCATCCTTGTTTCTAGGCAACATTGAATACTACAAATAATTTCGAAATGTCAAATGTATCAACCCCTCCCTGAGATTTGCAGTCTCATGTAGTACAAATTGCATGCAAAAATGGTTGCTATCCCAGACTTATAGACCCCTATGTGCAGGGTCAGGATGAAGTTAAAGGAGATAATTGAGGACGCTGAATTTCTCCTTTAAATGCAGATTGTTCTTTCTTGAATTAGGTCTGTTTTCTTTCTCCTAGGATGCTTACACAACAGTGAAGCCTAAAATGGAAAACGCAATTCAGTTTGGAAAAGGTAATAATTCCTCAGTGCACTGTCACTGTCCTCTGCACTTTATACAGCATGGGAAATGATGGTATCGATGCTTGGCTAATGATCCCGAGGCAAACCTTATGGGAATGTGCGTTCAGATCCAATTGCAGCAATTAGTGAAATTTGAGCTCAACTCATAAAATCTGGAATATAAACCTCACCTATGTGATGATTGCCATGACAACTAACGTTGGTTGTTGTAAAACCCATCTGGTTCACTAATGTCCTTACCTGGTCTGGTCTACATGTGACTCCAGACCCACACCAATTGGGTTGACTCTTAACTGTCCTCTTGCAGGGTCTTACTGAGCTTCCAACTATTTTATTGTCCATTTGTGGGATGTGGGCATTGCTGGCTGGGCCAACATTTATTACCGATCCATAATTGCCCTTGAGAAGGTGGTGGTGAGGAGCTGCCTCTTGAACTGCTGCAGCCGTTGGGGGGGGTAGGGACACACAGAGTGCTGTTATTTGTAGAATGGAACCATGGTCCATCAGCTGAAAATGTAAAGTACATCTCCAGGACATCACGTGGCCTCCCCCGTGCACTGTGACCCCAATTGTATAGATTCTCCCTGTACAGTCTGTCACTGTCAAAGCTATCTCCCTGCATGTATTGAATCCAGTCACAATGTTACTGTATTCTTTCAGGGGATGTGTGTGTTGGTGTTAAGGCCAGGCTTTGTTGCCCATCCCTAATTGCCCTTGGACTGAGTGTCTTGCTACACCATTTCGGAGGGCAGCTAAGAGTCAAGCACATTGCTGTGGGCCTGGAGTCACATGTAGGCCAGACTGGGTAAGGATGGCAGTTTCCTTCCCTAAAGGATACAAAGGAACCAGATGGGGGTTTAGAATCATAGAATCCCTACAGTGCAGAAAGAAACATTTGTTCCATCGAGTTTGCACCAACTCTCCGAAGAGCATCCCACTCAGACCCAGCCCCCTACCTTCTCCCAGTAACCCTAGATTGAGCATGGCCAATCCACCTAACCTGCACATCTTCGGACTGTGGGAGGAAACCAGAGCACCCGGAGGAAACCCATGCAGACACGGGGAGAATGTGCAAACTCAACACAAGAGGGTTGCCCGAGGATGGAATCAAACCCAGTTCCCTGGTGCTATGAGGCAGCAGTGCTAACCACTGAACCACCGATCAGTAATCATTGCTGTTACTGAGTTTGTCTTTACATTCCATTTAAATTCCACCAGCTGCTGAGGTGGGAGTTATTTGAACTCTCACCCTACACGCCCGAGCACTGAATCTCTAGATTAGTTCAAAAACATCACCAATTTACAACTACACCACCTTGTCTCCTGCTCTTCAATTCAATGATAGGAGGAGGGATTTTAGGGAGCAGGCGGAGGGTGAGATTTCTTATTTTCATTCACTCGAAGGCCAAGGTTGGTGTTGGCTCAAGGGCATCCAGGGGATAGACAATGAATATTGGCCCAGCCAGTGACACCCGTGAGTGAATAACAAGGCAAAAAAAATCTAACCCTACCGTACAAAGCTCAGTTCTTGAGCGTGTCTTGGTGTGAGATGAGCAAGCATTCAGTTACCCGTCTCAGATCAGTGTATTCCATCTCCAGTCAAATGGAACTCACTGCTGGAGACGTGGGAGCACTGAAGATACCATTCCATGACAATGAGTGTATCCTTTGTAGTATAAATGCTGGGTGGACTGAGGGTGTGGAGATGGATTGAAAGACCAGTGGACTGGGATAGTGCTGACATCTTGTTTTGCCTTCGGTAGATGGCTATGCCTTTCTGAAGAACCCACCAACTGGATTCTACCCACGTGCTGGAGTCATCGCAGTGGCTGGAGTAGCTGGTCTCCTCCTCGCTGGGAGGGGTAGGAGCTGAACAAACCTTTTACTTCAGATGTGCTTTTGTGTGTGCAGCCAGTGAGGAAATGGTGACACTGTGGTAATGTCACCGGACTAGGAATCGGTGAATGATCCCTGGATACGGTTCAAATTCCACTGTGGCATAAGTGGTGAATTTAAATTGAATGAATAAATCTGGAACCTGAAGCTCATCTCAGTCATTGTGACCAGGAAACAATTGTTGCCACTTATCAGCCCAAGCCTGGATATTGACCAGACCTTGTATCAAGTGGAAATTGAGATGGATTGTAAATTATTGGGTCCCCAGCACTGATCCCTGTGATACTCCACTAGCTTCATTGTGCCAGCCTAAAAATGACCCATTTAATCTGATTGCCTGCTTTCTGTTAGCTAAGCAATACTTGATCCAACCTAATATGTTACACTCGTAGTAGTGCAGTGACCTTCAATGTGGCCCTTGATGAAATTCCTTCTGAAAATTCAAATCCAACATATCCACGATGTCACTTGTTACTTATTCAAAGAACTCTATTGAATTAGTTAAAGATGATTTCCTTCCTTGTTGACTGTACCTGATCACTTTAAGATATCATGGTGATTGACTGAAAACATGGTCGGTGTTGGGGCTAAATTATCCCTTCTTACTGTTGTTCCAGTGTTCACCTCCCCAATCCCAGGCTCAGCCTCGGAGTTGAATTGCTAACTTGCTGTCTCTGTCTCCATGTGGAGGTCATTTCCTCAGCCTGGTTTCTGGGTGCTTTTCCCACTGTGCTTGCTGTTCTCTGCTGACTTCCAATTTGTTTGATAGGTTCCCGGGTAAGAAAAGTGCTTTATTCGTGTGGGTTTGTTGCAGCCTGTGGCTCTCTGTATTATCCTCAAGAAACAGTCGAAGCAGTAAAGGTAAGTGTATTAATCCCTGTTGCTTCAAATGGCAACACACTGATCAGTGAAATACTCCACAAAAGATTTTTCTAATGTCTTTTTATGTGATTGATGTTAAAGTTCTGTGCAGATACTAGAATTATCAAAGTAGGTTTTATCTCTGCCTGAAGCGTCCAGGACTGTTTATTAAAGGCTGTTATAGATGTAGATGGGTTGGTCAGATGGGCAGACAGTGGCACATGGTGTTTAACCTGATAAGAGAAGAAGAAAAAAGATGAGGGAGTATTTCATGAATGACAGGACATTGGGTCGCTTAGAGGAACAGAGAGATCTTGGGGTAATTATTCACAGATCCCTGAAGTTGGCAGAGCACATGAATAGGATAGTTAAGAAGGCATATGGGACACTTGCTTTCATCAGTCATGGCATAGAGCATAAGAGCAAGGAGATAATGTTGGAGTTGTAAAGTGTTCATCAGGCCATAGCTGGAGTACTGTGTGCTATTCTGGTTATCTCACTACAGGAAGGATATGATAGCATTAGAAGGCGTACAGAGGAGGTTTACCAGGATGTTGCCCGTGATGGAGAAATTGAGATTTGAGGAGAGAATAGGCAAGTTTGGATTGTTTTCTTTAGAGCAGAGAAGACTAAGGGAGGACATGATTGAGGTGTATAGGATTATGAGGGGCATGGAGGAGGTGAATAGAGAGCAGCTGTTCCCCTTGGTTGAGGGGTTCAGTCACTAGCGGGCATAGTTTTAGAGTAAGGGACAGGAGATTCAGCGGCGATTTGGGAAAAAAACTTTTCACTCGGAGGGTGGTGGGAATTTGGAATGTACTGCCTGGGCAAGACATAGAGAGTCATAGGGTCATACAGCATTGAAACAGATCCTTCAGTCCAACCAGTCCGTGCTGAACGTATTCCCAAACTAAACTAGTCCCACCTGCCTGCTCCTGGCCCATATCCCTGTAAACCTTTCCTGTTCATGTACTTATGCAAATGTCTTTTAAACATTGTAACTGTATCCACATCCACCACTTCCTTAGGAAGTTCATTCCACACATGAACGACCCTATGTAAAATAAAATTTGCCCCTCATGTCTTTTTTAAATGTCTCTCCTCTTACTTTAAAAATGTGCCCCCTAGTCTTGAAATCCCCCATCCTGGCGGAAAGACAACTGCCATCAACTCTATTTATACCTCTCATTATTTCATAAACTGCGATCGGATTGCCCTCAACCTCCTATGCTCCAATGTAAAATGTCCCAGCCTCTCTTTATAACTTAAACCTTCCATACCCAGCAACATCCTGGTAAATCTCCTCTGAACCCTTGTGGAGGCTGGAAACCTTGCAACCTTTAAAAAAATATTTGGATGAGTACTTCAAATATCATAACATGCAAGGATATGGGACAAGTGCAGGGGTTAGCGCACTTTTAGTGGTGGTTATGTCGATGTAGACTCGATGGGCCGAAGGGCCTTTTGTGCGCTCTATGAATCTATCTATGTCGTCATCTGAATTTTCACAACCTCAGAAGCTCCCAAAGTGTCTTGCAGCTAATGTTGTTATCTCTGCAGAGCACTCCATGTTATAACCTCTGCAGAGCACTCCATATTGTAATGTAGGGAAACACAGCTGCCAGTTGGCGCATAGCAAGCTCCAATAAGCAGCAGTGTTTGTTGATGGATTGCTTGTATTTAGGTGGTAATAGAGGGATACATATTGGTCCTGACACAAGGTAGTTCTTGTTCAAAACACAGTAATGCATTTGAATCTAACACCTGAGAGGGTGTACAGGGCCTCTGTTTAAGAACTCATTTGACACCTCTGTCATCTTCTGAATAATGCAACCAAACGTCAGTTCAGATTTTGTGCTCAAGTCCTTGAATAGGATTTGAAGCTGCACCCTTCTAACTCCGAGGTGAGAGAGCTACCCACTGAGCCATCGCTGACACCATATTACCCAGCCAATATTTTCATTTTCTCTGTTGAGGAATTAAAATTAACCCAGACACCCACACAGCAGGTGGGATAATAAAGAGCACTGGGGATTAAGGGAGGGATTGGGAGTGACAGGGTGGAGTATTAAAGGCTACAGGGAGTGAAGGGGAGAGTGGGAGTGACAGGGTGGGATATTAGAGGGTACAGGGAATGAGGGGGAGAGTGAGAGTGACAGTGGAATATTAAAGGGTACAGGGAATGAGGAGGAGAGTGAAAGTAGACTGGGTGGCTAGTGAGCTGCATATTGTTGAGTTGATTGGTCTACACTGTACTGTCACTATAATTTTTGCTTCACTCTAATACAGAACTGCTGATGGTCACTGTGTTTATGCAGTGAGTTAGAGTGGGAGCAGAAAGTACCAAATCTGATCCAGCCTGGTCAGTGTTCTAAGGGAGGGTGATATTTCAGTCAAGGCACATTGTAATGATGAGCTGCACTGACAATGAATATGGTTGTGGTGATTTGCAGCTCTCTATGTATGTGCTGAGTGTCGCTGATTATCTGTTATGTTTTATTCAGCTGGCCAGTACAACTGTTTATGAACTGTCGATGCAAGTGTACCTAAACATTGAATCCTTGTGGAAAAAAAATACACAGAGGGAACAAGGACCTGTCCCAACACTCAGTAACAATCAGGTATTCTAGCTGTGGCATTTATAACTGTGTATGACTTCAATAAAATACAGGAGAATCTCTGACACTGGTCAATACAGTACCGACACCCAGGCTGAACAGAGTGGATCTGGGCAGAGGTGACCCTGGACAACTCTGAGTTGACCCTGAGCCTAACCCTGGACAGCTCCAGGCCTACCCCTATTCCTGACCCTGGGTTTGTGGTGCCCTAGCTCTGTGTGAAAATGTTGAGGGTAGCCATGTGAGCTGCTGAAGCCCTGCAAGTCTGGTCTAAAAGGTCACATCAATCAGAAAGTCACGTTGACTGCTGGGAATTGATGAGGATTAAACATCTGAATTTTGATGCTGTGAAAGTAACTGGAGCTCTTGTGCTTTTTAAAGGCTGGAGATGTTCAACAGTCGGGTGAGAACACTTCCTCCTGAACTCTGTCAGTCAGCAGTAAGTATGGTTTGGCTTACAGGCCTCCTATACCTGTACAGTGGTGTCATACGGTTTGGGGGTTTAGACCCCAGAATATGTCTGCCTGTCTGACAGCATAATTATTGATCCTGGGATGGGTGGGTGGGAGAAGTGTTTCCACTGTATAAGTTGTTTTCATTTCCCTCCTGCTTGGAATGGACCCCATCAGCCTTTATGTTGAAGGTTTAGAGGTGGAGATGAGCCAGGCACCAACAAGCTGTGAAGACTGTCATTTATGGCAAATTCATTGCTGGGAGGCAGTCACCCCAGATCACCTCGTCATGTCACAGGCTTTGAACCGAGCATTCAGGGCATTTCAGTTCAGTTCAGCCAAGCTGAACCCATCCTTAACAACACAGTGGTTGATTTAACTGTACTTGTACTCCAAAGGGCTGGCTGAACAATCCAGATGATTTGAGTTTCAAATCATATTGTCATGGTGGTTTGTGAATGCAAACTCGGTTTTGGAAGAATTACACTGACAACCAATGGTGTGCTTGCATGCACTAGAAGCTAGATGTGTTAGGACCCAGGTCCCTGTTCTTTGCAGACTGAATGAACATGTAGTCACACTGCACCTGTTTCAGCTCAAAATAAGTGGCACCCATTTGATGATTTATTTCTCAAGGCAATGCTCTGACTCAGAAAAATTGTCCTGCTGTCTCGGTCTCCTCTTTTCTAAAAGGAGCCCAGCTGCTTCAAAATTTGTCAGTAGGTATTAACCTCTGTTTTGAAGTCATTCAAGTAAATGTGACTCGCCACATCAACACAGTGACTACTACAGCAGGTCAGAGGCTAGGAATACTGCAGTGAGTAACTCATGTCCTGACTCCCCAAAGCCTGTCCACCATCGACAAGGCACAAGTCAGGAGTACAATGGAATAATCCCCACTTGCCTGAATGAGTGCAGTCCCAACAACACTCAAGAAGCTTGACACCATCCAGGACAAAGCAGCTCGCTTCATTGACACTACATCCACAAGCATCCACTCCCTCCACCACCGATGCTCAGTTGCAGCAGTGTGTACTATCTATAACCATGGTGGCTCAGTGGTTAGTACTGCTGTCTCTCAACATCAGGTACCTGGCCTCGATTCCACCCTCAGACGACTGTCTGTGTGGAGTTTGCACATTCTCCCCATGTCTGCATGCGTTTCCTTCAGGTGCTCCAGTTCCCTCCCACAGTCCAAAAATGTTAGGTGGATTGGCAATGCCAAATTTCCCAAAATGTCCAGGGATGTGCAGGCTGGGTGGAATAGCCATGGGAAATGCAGGGACAGAGAAGGGTGGGGTGGGGTGAGTAGTGTATGTGTGTTTGTGAGAGAGTGAGATTGCCATCTACCATGTTGGGATTTGAACTCCGATCCCAGAATATAAAAGTACTGCTTGGCCATCACTTCTCCAAGTGTTACTTTCAGTTTCCCCATGCCATTCTCAATGTGCTGCACATATTTTTATATAGATAGATATTTACACATTAAAAATATATTGGCACATTGAAATACTCAGCGATATATATAAAAATTAAAAGCATTACATTTTTAAGGATAGTGCAGGAAAATGGTGCTGAATGATAAGATCAGGTATGATCTTAGTGAATGGTGAGTGTGCTCCAAGGGCTAAATAGCTTTCTTTTCCTATTCTGTCCTTTCTTAGAATCCATACAGTGCAGAAAGATCCTATTCAGCCTGTTGGGTGTGAAGTGACCTCCGAACAGTATCCGACCTAAATTTAAGGGGTGCCATTTTAAGACTGAGATGAGGAGGATTTCTTCTTGGAGGGTTTGAGTCTTTGGAACTCCTTTTCACAGAGAGCTGTGGGAGTAGAGTCCTTCTGTATATGTAAGGCAGTAAAGTGAACACGACGAATATCGGATCTGCCATGATCTTATTGAATGGTGGAGCAGGCTACTTCTGTTCCTATTTCTTAGGGTCTTACAGTGGCCTAATTACTCAGATTGTAGGGGGCAGGGGAAAGGAATGTACCCTCTTAAGGGTGTAGGTGCCAAAATGGAAGACTCATTGTCCCAAAATGTTGTGGCCCCAAAAACAGCTGGCCATGGAGCTTGCAATGGCACCTTCCCTGGAGTTGGGGTCCAGCCAAGCAAGAAAGAGTTTAAAAAGTATATAATTCGGGTTGATCACTAGTCCTTGAGCCTCTCTCCTATCTCGGCCATGAGGTGCTTGCCTAGATTCTTCACCATCCTTCAACCCAAGTCCGGTTGACAGGCACCCCCTCTGCTGTCACAACTTTCCATCAGAAAACCTACCTTCCCCACCCCTCTCTGTTGTTAATGGTTTCACCAAAACAACACTGTCTCAGACTCAAAGGAAAGTTCACTTATGTTTTTCTCAGCCAGGCACCCTGAGGGGAAGGGTCACTGGACCCAAAATATTAACTCTGATTTTTTTCTTCATAGATGCTGCCAGACCTGCTGAGCTTTTCCAGCAACTTCTGTTTTTGTTCCTGAAAGGATATCTTCCTGCTGCTTTCTCTAGACAGGTTACTAAAGCATGTGTCTTCTGGCAGGTTGTCGAAGGGAACAGTTGGACGCATGACTGAAGCTATATTTCCCCTATGAAACAGAAGGAACTCGAATCATTATGACTATGTTCATCAAATCTTATTTATGACAGTTGAGCGGAGAATTATTATTTTTGTTTGTGAAGGTGCTAACAACTGAGAAATATTTGTGTATATTGAACAAGCTGCAATAAAAATCCAAAAGTCTCACCAGATGTCTTAATTTGTTCTTGTGGGTTGTTTGTAGGATTACACAGGCCAAATATTTCACTGGAGCTACAAACTGGTCCCAGTTCCCAAAGATCATTATTCTTTCTGTACAAGCATTTCCTGTAGCTCAATGGGAAGCAATCTTAACCTTGGAGCCTGAAGGTTATGGGTTCAAATCCCAGTCCAGTTCACATCCCATTTTAATGCTGAAGGAGTGCTGTACAGGCCACCTCTGGAGTCTGGGTTGAGAGTCCACCCTGTCTCCGTCTTAAGAGGTCTTTGCAGTCTCTTCAACCTTCCCCCACGTTCCATGAAAGGCCCTGGGTGGGAAAATGGTACATCAGCTGCAGTCCTCATGGTAGAACAACCACAAAGTCTGAATAAAAGCAAGTTACAGAAGATGCTGGAAATCTGAAACAAACACAAGGGGGTCAGTGTAAGGTAGAGGTGGGTCAGTCTTAGCGGGAAGGGAGGTCTGTGAGGGGGGGGGGGGGATGGGTGGGTGGGGGGGGAGGAGAAGGGTGAGTGTGAAGGGGAAGGGTGAAATGTGGGTGGGGGTAGGGGGAGGGGGGTGAGTGTGAAGGTGAAAGGTGGGTTGGGGGGAGGGGGGGTGAGTGTGAAGGGGGAGGTGACAGGGTTTCCCTCACTACCCCCTCCTCGTTCTCTGACGTAACCTCCGGGCCCACGTCCATGATTTCCGGTAATCGTCATTTCCGGGAAAATGGTGCCTCTCTCTGCGCTGCTGTTTCCGGTCGGAGTTTGGTGCGCCCTTTCCCTGGGGGACTCGGCCCTTAAGGTCCGTGAGGGAGGGAGGGAGTCACTGATACATCACCCCCTCAATATACCCCCCAATCATTAACTCCTCCCTCATTCCCCCCATCCATCTCAAACCCCCCTTATTCCCCCCCATCACCCCCTCATATCCCCAACCCTCCATCGCTACCTCATCCCTTCTTCATCCTCCTCCCTCATTTCTTTTATTCACTCACACTCTCACTGACTGTGTGTCTGTCTCTCTCTCTCTCTCACACACACCCTCACAATCACAATCACACACACACATTTGTTCACTCTATATTTTTGCTGGATTGTGGGTGATAATAGCTGATATTTGCAGTTTATTGGGTGGGTGCGTTTGTTGGCACTGGCACTGACACTGATTCCAGTCTCTTCTGATTGCCCAGTCATCTCCCAGTCTCAAGGCTCGTTACGAGGAATGGCTGACAAACCACGGGATCAGCATTGCTCCCTTCCATGCCCGGTGGCAGACCGCTGCCTTCAATCGCCTCTTTATGAAGTTGGGGCGCTGGAAGCCTCAGCTCCTGTACTTCTGGTAAGTTACATATAAAACCCCTTCTCAGCGTCCATCTGGCATTGTGTCAGAAGATTGAGTTCATCGTTCATGTGGCCATTTCTAAGATTTGAGGTGCCAGTGTTGTCAGTCAACAGTGCTGTGTGTGGAATCTGGCTGTTGACAGGTATTACTGTATTTTCACAAATCCAATAATCTAAATTTCTGTCTGTTATGAGACCAGATATAGGGTTCGGTATTGGGTGAACATTTTGAAAGTGTTTATCGTTGTATGTCACCTGAGGTTGTACCTAAATGTACCTAATGATCCAGTCGAATAGCTCAGAGTGGAAACTAGGCACACAGAGAAAATTTTATTGTTGCACATTGTGTAATTTTCAATGTGAAATGTTTTCCTCTTGGGCTGTTTCCCACTGTGGTATGTACATTGTAAATAGTAAGAATATTACAATTGCATTGAGACACCTATGAATCGAATGTGCTGTATGGAGACAAGTTGAGTTTTGTTGGACCTTCTGTAATTTTCAAACCAACATGCCCCACAGATTTTATGAATATATTTTTGGGAAAAAGACGGTGCTGTTAGCTAAGCATCTTTTAAAGCCATCAGCATGTTTTCAATGAAGTATCTGTTGACGTTTCCATTATTTCCAACAAATAATTGGTACAGGTGGTGGATCACAGGTTTTGACTTTTGTTCCAGGTTCAATCTGGGAATGGCCTTCGGTGTGATCTCAATGTTCGTCTCAATATTGCTTCTAGCCAAAACGTTCTCTCAGACATTGGCATTAATGACAGCAGAGAGCCCTACACCTGAGAATGAACGTATTCTACAAGTTGTGGTGAGTAACCTTAAATGCAGTGGAGAACAGAGACACCCCAATGTCTCCGAGAAGCCTGAAGACTTTGAGGGGTTGTGATCAGGCCGATAATGACAGATCATAGAATCCCTACCATGTGGAAACAGGCCAATTGGCCCATCGAATCCAAACTGCCTCTCCAAAGAGCACCCCACCCCGACCCCATGCCCTATCCCCATAATCCTGCATTTCCCATGTCTAACCTACCTATCCTGCACATCCCTGGACACTATGGGGCAACTTAGAACGGCCAATCCACCTAACCTGCACATCTTTGGACTGTGGAAGGAAACTGGAACACCCAGAGGAAACCCACACAGACACGGGGAGAATATGCAAACTCCACATGGACAGTCACCTGAGGGTGGAATCGAACCTGGGACCCTGGCGCTGTGAGGCCCTGTGTATGCTGTGAGACAGCACTGAGCCACCATGATTGTTTACACTGGCTGTCGAGAGGGGGTTCCTCCCAGTACTAAGTACTGCATCCCCTTGTTCTTGACCTTCAACCCAGAGCAAACATCTTTCCTTAACCTGCACCGTTGAACCCTATTGTGTTTCAATAAGATCATCTCGCGGTCTTCTAAATCCTAGAGAATATGGGCAATGTCTCCCCAGAGGACGTACTACCATTCTACGAATTAGTCTGGTGAACCTCCATTGTGTTTCTGTTACAGCCTCCTTTCTCAGCTAAGTGTGATGAAAACTGCCTGCAATGTTTCCTGTGTAGTCTCGCCAAATTCAAGGTAGAAGAATATTAATGGGGAGGTTAAGCATGCGGGGACATTGTGGGAGATAAAAGACAGAGCTGTCTGTCAGCAGCGGAATAATACAATCTGTGTGATACTATCCTTCTGCAGTGGTAGCAGAAGGAGGCTGTTGTATCTATGCCAGCTCCCCGCAAAATTAACTCACAAAGCTAACTCCAATGCCTTTACCCCGTTTCCACAAACCTTTACTCTTAAGATGCAGAAGGTGAGAGGAGACACAGCCATCATTTTCCAAATTTCTTGTGCAGAAAGGGGTGAAATGATAAGTGCAGAAACTGCAGGCCAGTCAGTTTATTCTCCGAGATAGGGAAGCTTTTAAGAACACTAACTTGGGACAAAATTCACACTCAGACAAAATGTGGGTTAATTAGGGAAAGCCACTGTGCATCAAGAGGATTCAGGGGCTCGATGAAACTACAGTACAGATAAAGGACTGTGGAGGGATTTGGAAACAGACCGGACTTTCAAGCACAGGAGAGACAGGTGAGAGACTTGGTGTAGGGTGAGACATGGGCAGCAGAGCTTTGAGTGTGCCCACATTTACAGAGGGAGGAATGTGGGATACCAGCCAGGATACATTGGAACAGTAAGGGTAGCATGATGGTTCAGTGGTTAGCACAGCTGCCTCAGTGCCAGGGATGCGGGTTCGAACCCAGCCTTGGGCGACTGCCTGTGTGGAGTTTGCACATTCTGCCTGTGTATGCATGGGTTTCCTCCGGGTGCTCCGGTTTCCTCCCACAGTCCAAACCTGTGCCAGAGTAGTTGGACTGGCCATGCTAAATTGCCCATAGTGTCCGGGGATGTTCAGGCTTGGTGGATTGGCCGTGGGAAATGCAGGGATAAGGTGGAGGTGTGGGTCTGGGTGGGATGCTCTTCGGGGGGTCGGTGTGGACTCGATGGGCCGAGTGACCTGCTTCCACACTGGAGGGATTCTATGGTTCCAGTGGAGTCTAAAGCATAGCCAAGTGTTGAATAAGGGTTTCAGTAGTTGAGGCAGGGGTGATGTTGGGTGAAGTTATTTAAGTGGGGACGGGTGACCTCACAGATACGAGGTCATAATGTCTCCTCTCGCGTCAGACGTGACAGCAGGTTGCGAAGAGACCAACTCCATCTCGGATTGTTGTCAGGGAGAGGGATGGACGTAATATCTCGGAAGAGGAGTGTGAAGCAGGAACCGAAATCAATGCCTTCAATTTTGCCGATATTTAATAGCACACAAGGTTGGCCTGTTCGGTACTGGGTCTCGGATACATCGCCTGACCAACAACACTGAAGGGCTGTGGAGAACAGGGGCTGCACGTGGAGGGTTAGTTGGGGTGGGTGGGGGGTGGTTGTGGTCAACAATTTAGTGGGAATGGGGTTGAGAGAGCAGAAGGTGGGGTCCCACGGACAAGATGAGCTGAGGGAGACAGGGCAGAGAGGTGCGAGTTGAGGGCTAGGGTCGGGGTAGCTTCAGAGGAAATTTCACCTGGTGGACTAGTGAAAGGGAGGAATGTGGCAGAGGCAGCTGATAGTGAGTGTGTTGGATCCAGCCAGTTAACAACTCTTCCTTTAGGCTGTTTTGTTTGTCTGACATGAGAGTAACCTGGTTAGGCTGGATGTATACAACGTCCCGAATTATGTTTGCTGTGCAGTCTCCTGTAGTTGCAAACAATTCTTGCTGCTAGTGTGCACAGGCAATTCTATGGAGCCTTATGGAATATGACATGAACAGTGACGATAACTATTAATTACATCGTGTTGTCTTCAATAGGTGCCTGGTGTGAACCTGCCAATCAGTCAGATGGTCTATTTCTTTGCTGCAATTTTGATCAGTGGCGTCATTCATGAGATAGGTCACGGCGTGGCCGCAGTCAGGTACGGAATTATTTACTTCCTTTGTGTCCTTTGCTTCTGAGGAGATGGGAGTCATAAAAAGGTGCAAAGGGTGGATTGCTCCACTCCAGCCTGGACTTTAAACAGGGTTCTTTTGTGTTTCCCATTTCTTTTCTCAGGGAATAATGTGAACTGGGTGAAGGAGCTTGCAGTCTGGTTAACAAACCTGTCGTGATGTGAACTGTCGTCCTGTGACTGTAACCATCTCTATTCCAGCCTCTCGTCTTGCGCAGGGGCTTGCTTTTGTAGGTTCCCAGGCTCCGTACATTGTCAGCGTGGTGCTGGAAGGCGCCCCACCCCGCCACGATCTGTGCCCAGAATTGAGAGCTGGAGCTTTTGTCACCATTCGCCAGCCCTGAACAGGGCTGGATTTGAGCTCAGTCTCTGCAGCCCAGAATGGAATAGTACTGCTGAAGCAAGACTTGGTTTCCCCATCAATGTAGAATCATGGAAGATTCATGGAAGCAGGCCATCGAGTCCACACTGACCCTCCGAAGATTATTCCCACCCATACCGTGTATATCACGTGGCTAATCCACCTAGCCTGCATATCCTGGACACTATGGATAATTTGCCATGGCCAATCCAACTGTGCTGCACATCTTTGGACTGTGGGAGGAAACCGGAGTACCCGGCAGAAACCCACGCAGATACGGGGAGAATGTGCAAACTCCACACAGACAGTCGCCCGAAGGTTGAATCGAACCCAGGTCCCTGGCACTGTGAGGCAGCAGTGCTAACCACTGAGCCACTGCGCCACCACATTAGCCTAGGATTCTGGATTAGCAATCCAGTGACATTACCATTTCACCACCACCTACTTCAAAATCTCTGACATCAGAAGTCTAATCATTTTTGTCCATTCCCTTTCCTCTTCTGTTCATTTGGAATGAAGGTGGCAGAGCCTTGGACGATAAGTGTAGCACAGTTTGATACTGTATATTGCTGGAATTAACAGGCTGAATTTAACTGTTTCTGAGAGCAGGATTGTGGTGTGTTGTGCCATGGCACTATCACTGAGCTCATCGCCTGTGATGCCACTGAGATACCCCCTATGTGCTGTGTGCAAATGTCACGATGGTGGGGAGGAAGATTCTGTGTGCGCATTTGGTCAGAAGCCCTCTTTGCCACCACTACCCTTGCCCTGAGATGAGCTTCCAAACCCACATTCATGCTGTTATGAAGACCTGTGTTAGTAATCTATAATATTGTCTGATTTCATCCTGTCTCATTTGCTGCTGAAACATTTGTTCAGGTCTCCTTTCCTTCTAGATTGGACTATTCCAAATCAACTCTGGCTTGCCCTTAGGGGTGGCACAGTGGCTCAGTGGTTAGTACTGCTGCCTCACAGCACCAGGGACCCGGGTTCGATTCCACCCTCGGATAACTGTCTATGTGGAGTTTGCACGTTCTCCTTGTGTCTGCGTGGGTTTCCTCCGGGTGCTCCAGTTTCCTCCCACAGTCAAAAGGTGTGCAGGTTAGGGTGGATTGCCAATGGTAAATTGCTCATAGTGTCCAGGGATGTGCAGGCTAGGTGGAATAGCCATGGGGAAATACAGAGTTACAAGGATAGGATTAGAGGGTGTATCTGGGTGGGATGCTCTTCAGAGAGTCAGTGTGGACTGAATGGGCCAAATGACCTGCTTCAACACTGTAGGAATTGTCTCTTACACTCAACCTCCATCACCTCAAGGTCATCCAAAATTCTGACAGGCATCTGTTCACACAAGCTTTTGATTTTAAAATTGTCATCCCGGTTTTTAAATCCATCTATGATCTCTCTCCTCCTATCTCTGTAAACTACTGCAACCTCTCAATCCTCCGAGATATCTGTGCTCCTCTAATTCTGGGCCTCTTTTGCATTGCTACACCATGTTTGGATCTGCCTTCAGCAGCCCTGGCTCCTCTTTCTGGAATTTCCCTCCATAAACCTCTCTGTCTCTTCCTCACTTTCCTCCTTTAAGATGGTCTCTTTAAGATCTACCCCTTTTACCAAGCTTTTGGAGTCTGACTAAATGTTGCTTTAGTTGACTGGATGTTTAAGTTTGGTCTAAAATGTGTACCTGTGAAGCTCCTCAGGGGCTATTTTCAGAAGTTAGTGTTGCTGTAGGAGCTGCTTTGTTGATGAATTGCTTTAGATGGAGCTGCTGCATTAGGTTATGTCACATACATTAGGAGCTATATCACAGCACCGCCTACAGATGCAATATTTGTGGATTATGCAATGGTATAAGTTTTAAAGTTCAGGAGTTACAGATAACCCACGTAGCCAGTCAAGAACACAAGTCATTTTACAGTTGTTTGTTAATTTTAGGAAGCAAAAGATGTTAAGAGTAAGTAAGCTAGTAAAAATAAAAAGGTGGTACGGTGGCTCAATGGTTAGCACTGCTGCCTAACAGCGCCAGGGACCCAGGTTTGATTCCACCCTTGGGCGACTGTCTGTGTGGAGTTTGTACATTCTCCCTGTGTCTGCATGGGTTTCCTCCCACAGTCCAAAGATGTGCAGACTAGGTGGATTAACCATGGGAAAATGCAGGGTTAGAGGGATAGGGTAAGGGGATTGGTCTGGGTGGGATACTCTTCAGAGTGAAATCGATGAGCCAAATAGCCTGCTTCCACACTAGGGATTCTATGATTCTAAGTAAGTATATGGTGTAATCTGAATAGACCGGCAAGGCATAGAAGCTGTTACGGGGGAGAGAGCAGTTTACTGATCCCAGTGGATGGGTGACACAGAACGAGTGTCGATCTCTAGCTTGTGTCGATCACATGTTACCAATGTCACTGATGTTCTTGTCCAGCACGTTAGCTTGTGGTCATCTTTAGTTTACCTCAGACTGGGAGTCATTCGTTAGCCAGCACTGGACATTTGTATAGATAAAAGGGTACAATCCGCTCTCCTGTCAGCTTGGAAACGTCACCATGGAAGCCTCAACCAGAAGGCCTTGACATTTTGAGCAATGGCTCCTCTTCCAAGAGAGGCAAAGAAAATGTCTGCTTTGCCTACAAATTCCATCAGGTTCTAGAATATCCTTACAGCGGTTTTAAGGCACAAGAGAGAAGTAAACAAACAAAAACAAAATTGCTGGAAAAGCTCAGCAGGTCTGGCAGCATCTGTGGAGGAAAAAACAGAGCTAATGTTTTGGGTCTGGTTACCCTTCCTCAGAACTGGAAACAAGTTTGGAGAGACAGCTGGGGAGAAAATTAAATGTAATGATCACTTTTTGAGAGTAGACTACTGGTTCTGTTCCGGTTACTGTAGTAGTATGAGTACCTGAATGGCTGCATGGGTTCATTGGATCATTTGAAAGGGTTGCAGACTTGACAAGACTCTTGGGGCAGGTCTAGGAGGGGCTTTTTTTTGAGTGGGGGGAGAAACAGGAAAAGCTCTGGTGGCTCTGAGATGGTGTTAGACTCTTTGGGGTCCTGGAACTTTCTGCATGATCAAGCTCAGCAACTACAAGAGAAGCTGAATTTAACACCATGAAAAAAGACATTTAAAACCCATCTTAGAAGTACTCCCTTTCCTCAGAAGATGCTAACATACAGAGAAGAAACCCTAATACCATGTATCCGAAGGCACTGAGGGAGTTTAACCTGAAGTTGGATAATGGGATGGAGTTAGAAACCTTTTCATATCTTGAACCTGTTTTTGATATTCGTGTATACTTCAGGAATTCAGCTATTCTTATTCCTATTTGTTTAGTTTAAAGTTGAAAATGTCACTTGTGATGACAGAATTGTTGAATTTGAATTGTATTTCTTCCCTCTCCACTGTGCAGGGAACAAGTGAGATTTAATGGGTTTGGAGTGTTCATTTTCGTGATCTATCCTGGGGCATTTGTTGACCTCTACACAAATCATTTGCAGTTGATATCCCCGATCCAGCAACTCCGGGTGTTCTGTGCAGGTAAACCTCACTGCACTGTCGGGAAAGTTCAGTTAATCTCCAAGGCTTGCTTCATTTTGTCAGGTTTTGCATGTAAAATGGATTTTGTTTCTTTCCTACCTTGGCAGGTGTGTGGCACAACTTCATCCTGGCATTGATGGCTTTGCTGGTCCTGTACTCATTGCCAATCTTCCTGTTCCCACTGTACTACACAGCGATTGGGGCACTGGTCACTGAAGTCGCAGAGGTAATAGCTCTCTGAATCAACCTGGCAAAGATTTGCACTCACCTTTGGGTGTCCACTAGTCTCGTCACCACTGTACCCACAGTATTGGCCGATATCTCTTGGAGAAGAGTATTTTGCCTTCCATCATCACAGGCAGAATATGTTAAACTGATTTGTGAATGTGCAAGTGACAATAAATGTTCCAGGATCTTTCGTTTAAAGCATTAGAATTGCTTAAAAAGAGAGACGCATTGCTGATGTTGTTCATCTTGAGCCACTCAGGACAGACTCTCAACAATGCCAAATCTCAAAGGGGACAGCAATTTATACTGCTTGAGAAAGGAGCGCTGATTGGTTGGCAGGTGGACTCTGGTGGAGATGTTGCCAATGCATTATTTCTATGGAAAAGGGACTGAGTGTGAGGATGGAAATGTAGCAGAGATGTTCATGTGTGCACGTAGCCACAGAACAGGGCAACTGTAGCAAACAAGGTGAAAGCGAAACAGGGATTGTTAAATGAATATATTGACACTATGTTATTAACTGTGTTGAAGTGGAACAACATTGAGTGAGTGAGTCAGCATTAAGCAGGAACTTAGCTGAAGAGGGAGTGAAATGAAGACTGACATGACTGATTGAAGGGTTGTCCTATGATTAAGTATCATACACCTGCATTCTATACAGTTTCAAAGAGTGAAAAATGATCAGAATGAAACATGTAAAATTCTTAAAGACTTCAACTTGATAGGCACAGAGATTGTTTCCCTTGTATGGAGAATCTGGAGCTGGGAGAGTAATCTCAAGATAAGAGCTGATCGATTTTCACTTTGTTTGGGAGAAATTTTCTTCACTCAGAAAGGTGTGAATCTTTGGAAATCCCTACCCCACAGATTTGTGGATAATCAGTCGATAAGTATATTCGAGACCATAGCTGCTGACCTGAAAGGCACCAGGAATGTTGTACCCATTCACTCATTCTTCTGTGTGGCTAACTCCACATGCATGACTGTTCCTGATGCCTCATGGATCATGTCCAGTGTTATTGTATAACTGATTCTAAATCCTTGCTGTGGGTCCCACTGATTGAGCTGGAGAAACATTGAGGTAGAGACTAAAGTTCTCCCTAGGCTAGGTCCAGTGTGTTAAGCATTGTGCATATTGCCTGGGTAACTCAACTGTTGCATAATAGAACTTAAAATCCCAGAGTCACACGTTGGGTAATGATTTATTTCTTAAATATTTTCATAAATATATTTTTTATACTTTTTTTTTTACCAAAAGTGATCTTTAACTAAGTATTACAGTTAATTCTCCACATTGGAAGTTGTGAATCTCAATTTATTGAGATTTCCTGATTACTTCTTTTCATCAATTACTGAATTGTCAGAGGCCTGTCTTACATTTACTGAAAGAAAGGTGGACTAGCAACGATAACCTGAAAGTGGGCCACAGAACTTTATTGTTAACCAGTGTCAAGTCAAAATGTTTTATTGCTGGCAGCTGACACTGATCCTATGCAGAAAGTGCTCCAAGGGTATTGCAACATAAATAAACATAGCTAAGCGATCAGTAGATTGTTGGATACTGGGCCAGTGCTTTCCAGAGTTTTCCCCCCATTTGTGGCTTAAATGTGAGACTTGAACAATTGTTGTGACCCAGAGCTGTCAGAATGTGGTTGGGCAGGGGAAGGAGCAAAGAGAGCCATGGAAATGGGAGTAGGGGTAGAGAGCTGTGAGAGCAGTGGCTGGAAATAAAGAGCACCTAACTTTGCACAAGCGGTTCTTTGGAACAAGTATTGGGCCTTAAAGATCAGCTGGTTAATTAATTGATTCTAGATTTATCAATTGAATTTAAATACCCACCAGCAGCTGCATCATGTTCTCAGAATCATTAGCCTCAGCCTCTGGGTTGCTGGTCCTCTGCCGTTGTCACTGCTCAGCTTGTAGCTATTAACACCGTGCGTGGCCAAAGATGCCTCTCAGCCTGCAAGCTGGAAATTTCAGCCTGCGCCCACACTTTGGGAAGCCCTGCAGTAAGGGAGTCAGCAGGTTGTATTGCTTGGTTAGGAAAGTGGAATAAATGTACAAGTTCAGCTGTGATCCAGTGGAATGCTAGAGCCGGCCTCGGGGGTCCAATCCTGTTCCTTGTGAGAGCCTGGGCCTCAACAGCTTTTCAGAAGAGAGTTTCAGATCTCTGCTACCATTGTGTGTCTGCGTGGGTTTCCTCCGGGTGCTCTAGTTTCCTCCCACAGTCCAAAGATGTGCAGGTTTGGTGGATTGGCCATGCTAAATTGCCCCATAGGGTCAAGGGATGTGCAGGCTGGGTGGAAAATGCAGAGTTTCAGGCCTAGGGTAAGGGGATGGGTCTGGGTTAGATGCTGTTGGGAGGTTCGGTCTGGGCTGAATGATCTGATTCCACACTGTAGGGATTCTGTGATTTAATTTGTCTGAAGGATATGCTGTTGGCTGTTACCCTTGACTCTAATTTTATGATTATACTTCCTTGCTCTACAAGAGAAAGTGGTTTCTCTTTACCTACCAGATAAAATCCACTGTTCATCTGAAACACCTTGATTAGATTAGCCCTTAATCTTCCATACACGAAGTAACCTGGTCAGTACAACCAGTCCAGGACTGAAGTGTGGCAGACAAGGTCCAGAGCTACATGTAGCTGTAACTTCACATCATATTTCAGTCCCTTTGGACTCATTTGTAAATGGGACATTCAGCAGCTGAGTATCTATGTTTCACTCGCATTCACCTTCTGTCTCTCAGAATTCCGCAGCCAGTGGACCCCGAGGACTGACAGCGGGTGATCTCGTAAAGTATGTGGAAAACTGCTCTGTTTATAGTGTGGAAGATTGGCACAAGTGCATTGAAGACATCTCTGTGAAACCACAGATTGGATACTGCATCAGTGAGGCAGCCATGCAGCAGCTGAGCTCTGTGGGCCGAGGTACTGATCAGGAAATGCTCAGTTTTGCAGTAAAAGTGCTGCCAATCCTCATGTCTCGCGTCATTCGTGGAACAAAGAATAGTGAAGTTCTGAGATAGAGTAACAGAGAGACCAACTGATTTATGACAGTGCAAGGCAAGAGGTGAAACAAAAGCTGGGTATTGGAAAGGGAAGGGCATCATATTTAGCCAAAGGAAATCTCCTGTAACCTGGGGGCTGGAGTAAGGAAGGAAGGGAGCCTCAGGGATGTGGCCGCTAGCACTAAGGTTAAGGGCTTCAGATGTTAGCCATTGCTTCTCTTTTATCTCAGAATCAGGGGCTGGTATTGGAGGAGGCCACTGTAAGTTGGTGGAGCGTGGACTGTTACCACTGGGGTGTGCCTACCTTCCCGGCCTGAAACAACACCCTCCGCCTTGTCAGCTTTTCTCTCCGCTCTTTGTTATTCCATTCCATTTTTAATTCTTTTGTGGGATGTGGGTGTCGCTAACAGGCCCCGCGGTTTTTACCCATCCCATCCCCAATTGCCCTGAACTGAGTGGCTTGCTCGGCCATTTCAGAGGGCAGTTAGAAGTAAACCATATTGCAGTGGGTCTGGAGTGACTAGTAGGCCCAGCCAGGTGAGTACAGCAGATTTCCTTCCCTAAAGGACGTTAGTGAACATGATGGGTTTTTACAACAATTAACAATGGATTAACTTTTTATTCCAGACTTCCTGTTGCATTTAAATTCCACCAGCTGCTATGGTGGGATTTGAACCTGTGGTCCTCAGAACATTAGCCTGGGTTTCTGAATACAATTCCAAACGTATACGCACTGTCCCATATACACCATTGTAGCCACATACACCTACCCCATATGCACATTGTATCCACACAGACCTGTCCCATATGCACCATTGTAACCATGCAGACCTGTTCCATATAAACCATATGATTCCTGGTCCTTTATGTTTCGACCATTTGCGGGATCTCGCTTGTGCTTGCCACACTTCTCTACTTTACTTCAGTGATGAAAATCTGAAGTGAAGCACTCGCATATCCTGGATGGGGTTCTGTAAATGCCCACTTAATGAAAGACTTGATTCAGTATTGAGGGGGGAAGGAATGAAGAGATAGGCCGAGGTAATGAGTGAGAGGGTGCTGCTGTGGCGAGTAAGCCAGCATCCGTTGATAAGGCTGGGTTGTGATCCCCCTCAAACCTGTGTTTAGTGGCCAAGGCTGTGCTTGCACTTTGTGGAAGGAATAACGTACTGCAGTTTGTACTTTGGGGACCAGTAGCTAACTGACCATCTTGGTTCTGCCTGTATCTGTGACTTTGAGGTCCTTGCAGCCTTCACTGTTACTCCCATTCCCACACTGACCCCTCAGTCCCTGGCCTCGTTCTCCTTTGAAGAAATATAGTGCAAACTTCAGATCTGCATATGGATGGAAAGAACATCTGACTTGTGATGCCATTTCATTCTAATTTCAGTTGTGTCCCCTCATTTCTCCAGGCCGTTCAGTTGCTTTGCTATTCACCTCTATTAAATATCTTGGTAGTCCAGAACTGAGCTATTGATGAAACAGGACTTCCTGTTAAAGCTTTTCATCCGCCTCTCATCAGGACAGACACATGAAGAACATATTTCAAAGGGAACAGCAGTTTATATTGTTTAAAAAGAAAGTGATGCTTAGGGTCAAGGTGTTGCCATGGAGAACTAGTTTTTTCTTCAAAAAGAGGACAAGTGTCCTCGTGTGAATAAATGTGTCATCTTGTGGAGTGAGTCATGTTGCTAACCTAACCGATAAACTTAAATTGGTTATTAGTTTGTGAGTCTTAACGTACTTGGGATTATTCAGCAGTTGCTGTTCAGTTGTGGAATCCCATCTCATTCTTTGACTATTCGTACAGGCGTTGCTGTTTGATACAATTGTGGGGACATATGTCCCAAGAACCTGGCATCACACTGGCACTGACTCTCAGAACATTGTTTAATGTTACACATGACTCTGCATTTGGATGGCACCTGCTGAAAAATCCTGGTTGTGCTAAGAGTTACACCAACAACCAATTTAAGATGAACAGTTGTCCTGATCAGCCCCAGATGAAAAGTTTCAATTGGTGGTTCCCTGCTTTTCAGAAATATTCATTAATGATTTCTGCTTATTTGATGGTCTGTAATATCATTCCAAAGAAGGTACTAATGTCTGTGAGATTTATGCATTTGTAAATGACATCCATTCCATGTTTTACTAAATTAATGCCCATGCAGCCTATAATTTTAGTTCATAAGGGCTCACAGTGCAAATGTTAGTCTGTCACACATGAGGAGGAGCAGGCTGTTCTCTTGGGCCCATCCATCTCTCTTCAGATGCATTCTGACCTACCGTGTGCTCCTGTCATTTGCGTTTTTGTTTTACAGCAACTTGTTTTGATTTGGCTTGTATCCACCCTGAAAACTGACAGTTGCATAGCCTATCCCTTCCCCATTTGCACACCCATTCACTGTGAAGATTACGTTGGCTGCCCCTTCCCATTCACACACCAGCTTGAACTAAAAGCTTGGTATGTAATGATGGGTTAGTGTTCAGGATTCTTTCTCTTTAAACTTTCAGTGCAGTAGCATGTGACGTCTCCCAGCCCTGTCCTCTTGCCTGTGCTAATAGTTCCTTTCAGCATCCCAGACCTCACCATTGTCAACGGCTACCTGTGCCCTAAGCTCTGAAAGTCCCTTCTTATGTCTCTCTACGTCATTTTACCTTGTTTTAAGGTGTTTCTTAAAACGTACAACTTTGACCAAGCTTTTGGTCACAGGTGTTATCCTCATGGTACTTTGGAAGTGAAAGTTGTTGTAGTAGTGTGAGTTGTATCCACGCTACACTTGCTCCTGTCCAGGTGGGCTGCTGTTCTTGTACATAACCTTAGAAAATCTTTAAAGCTGACCTCTTCACAATGGCAGTAAAATGGTCTTTTGTTCTCTGCAGCGTACAGAAGGCTCGATGGGACCACAGAATGTTGTAGCAATAATAGCCTGGTGGACATCTGCTTCTCTTACCGTGGGAACCTGCAAATCCCTCAGGTCAGTCTCTTCAGACTGCACTCTCATTCGAATAAACAGCTGTTTAAACATGTTGTGTTCGTTGCCACAGAAATCCGCACCTGCTGCCCTTGCAAAACAAGAATCTGTTTTTCCACGGTGAATACTGTGAACAGGGGCGGTGGTAAAGAAAGCGTTTGAATAGGTAACCGGACAGTGCTGGGAAGGTAATGGGTTGTTCACACCACTATTGAGATTTCAGTCCAGCTTTTCAGATTAGTTTGTTATAGGTAAATGTTGAATCGGTCAGTCCAGCCATGTACAGATAGGGCAAATCTTGCACTTTTAATTCTATAATAGTCAGTAGTATGTAAAATGTACTATCAAATATAATTTTGTGCATTCTGCTGATAGTTTTGGCTACAGCTTATTCATAAGCATTAAACTACAACAGGTGGAGTTTCTACTTTGGATACAATACATATCATGCAGGCACAGTGGCTCACAGCACCAGGGACCCAGGTTCAATTCCAGCCTCGAATGACTGTCTGTGTGGAGTTTGCACGTTCTTTCCCCGTGTCTGCATGGGTTTCCTCCGGGTGGTCTGGTTTCCTCCCACAATCCAAAGACGTGCAGGTTAGGTAGATTGGCCATGCTATATTTCCCATAGTGTCCAGGGATGTGCAGGCTAGGTGGATTAGCCATGGGAAATGCAGGGTTGCAGGGTTGGGTGGGAATGCTCTTTGGAGAGTCAGTGTGGACTCGATGGGCTGAATGGTCTGTTCCACACTGTAGGAATTCTACCTGGTCAAGGGTCCCTCTCTCAGTCAGTATCTCTCCCCGATTAAGAATTGTTTGTCTCTCTCTCTCTCTCTCTCTTGCTTAGGGTCTCAATGTCTTCCCCCACCCTGTTCTTTTACTCTCTCTCTACTTTATGCAGGCTTTATTCCAACTGAGGTGAGTGCATCCAGCTACTCTTGCATGTTCCACTATAGCCAAAGGAACAATGTGTCAAACCTCAGCACTGGTCCAGTGATTCGAACTAGGACGGTAGGGCTTTGACCAAGTTCTCCTAGTATTGTCATCTGCTTCTAACAATATCCAAGAGTTGGTGTTATTTCCTGCCCCTCCTAGACAGTGAGGACGATGTGTCCTGTCATTGGTTATGACGTTACCATGCAGCCATCCAGCCCAGTTGGCGACAGCTGGAAGATATGCTGGGCTAGATGTAGCCAAACATTGAATCATTCTCCCTTTATGTGTCTCTAACCTGCTGTCTCTCCCTCTCTCTGTCCTCTCCCCCCCACCACCACACTTCCTTTGAACCCCTGTTCCCTAGACACTTCCCTGGCTTCCAGAAGATCTGGCTGCAGGATATTAACCCTCCTTTATCTATGTGGATGGAACCAACATTGACCACAACTATTCACTGTTCACCTCCCACCCCTCCAAAGTTCTCAGCAGACCTTGATGCTATCTATCTAACCCTTAGCCTTGCAGATGCACCGCAGTGACACCAGCTGCTGCTTACACTGTGAAACCAGAAGCGCCAGGTGCTGATAGTTTCTGCGCAGGTAATTGTCCAGGACTTGAGAAGTTTGCCTGGAATTCCCATGTGGAACAGGATGTACGTCTCACGGGTCTGAGGTGACCTGCCACTTCCCCCATATTTTGATTGTTAACTGACTTGGCAGAGAGCAGACTCTCTTGTTCTGCCTAGCAGCCAGTAACCCTGCTTGATTCTTGTATCCTTATTCTCTGTACAAGGTCATTTATACATACGAGGTCATCTCTTAGCCCCATGCTGTACACACCTGGGGATGTAGGTATTGCCGCTATCACCATTCAGATCCATAGGTTAATCATGGGAACTGCCATGGTTGGCAGGGGGAGTGGATACCATTAAAAATCATATCGCAATACTGGAGAAAGTTCTGAACACACTTACAAGGTAGACTAACTATTTTTATAGTGCTCGTTCATAAGCTGTGGCTGGCAGTTATTGCCCATCCCTAGTTGCTGCGGAACTGAATGCCGTGCTTGGGGCCATTTGTTCAGACAGTTAGCTGCATTGCTGTGGCTCCAGAGTCACATATAGGCCAGACTGGGTAAGGATGGCGGATTTCCTTACCTAAGCATCATTAAGTTTAAGCTCTATCGTTTGCTGTGGCGGGCCATGAGCTTGTGTCCCTAGAGCATTAGCCTGGGCACGTGGATTATTAGTCTGGTGACCAATTTGAGAAGTTGAAGCTGTGGGGAAAAGAGAAAGCCACATTCGGGTCTTTAAACCGATGAATGAGTTTGCCAAGCATTCTGACTGCTCGGGGATTTGGGACTGAAGGGCTTCCCTCTTGCATGCCTTTGATGACCCGGTGCACCTCACTGTTTCTTGTATCTTTGTTTGCGGTTCCAGTATGCTTGTCTCGCTGCCAGAAAGGCCATTGAATTGAGCCAGGTGTGTCAGAGGAACACAGACTGTCCAAAGGAGTTGGCGCCCAGCCTTTGTGTGAAACCCTCTCTCGAAAATCAAACCAGGCTGATCAGAGTCAAACACTTGTCTCCCATGGCCATGTTATTTGTAGGACACCCTGTGCATCTTCAATACGCAGGTCTGTCACATTAAATACAATACTAGTACTTACTTTATAACACGAAACTTGAGTGATGATGAAAAAGGCACATTTTCACAAGAATACTAATTTAAGTGGAAAGCTAACAATTTATACACTAATTTATGCTCCTCTCATACAATCTAAATATTAGTTCGCCCCAAATTGGTATTCTTGTGAATTGTCCTGATGACTCAAGACAAAAAGCTTGATCAGAATCTCTGTCTCTTTTTAACAACATTCAAACGCAATAGTGTAATCTTCAGTTAATGTATCATTGACACTCCACAGTAGAATATATAACAGCCCAGAGCACTTGAACAGCTCTTTCAAAGGGAAGCTGTTGAAATACTAATTCTGAGGTTGTGAGGAGCAATGTAGGTAGACAGAAAGGTTAGAAATTGCAGATTTTCTGGGATAAGCAGAATTAAAATATGACGTAGTGAAATCCATTACTTTTAAGTGTTGTTTGAGAAACAGTACCTTTTCGCCAACCTCAGAACAGATTTAATGTGTCAAGTGAAAGAAGACACCTCTGGCAGCGTAGAAACATCAAAGATAGGAGCATGTGTAGGCCATTCAGCCCTTCAAGCCTGCTCCCCCAATCAGTGTGATCATCATGGCTGATCATCAAGTTCAATGTTTTAATCCCCACACCCCATATCTCATGAAACCTTTCGCTACATCCAATGTTTTGGCCTCAGCCACTTTCTGTGGCAGTGAATTCCACAGGCTGACCACTCTCTGGGTGAAGGAACTTTCCACATCTCCCGCCTAAAAAGTTTAGCCCACCATCGGGAGCATCCTTCCTGCATCTAACCTGTCTAGTCCTGTTAGAATTTTATAAGCTTCTCTGAGATTCCTGTTGCACTCATCTAAACTTCAGTGAGTATAAACCTGACTGATTCAGTTTCTCCTTGTATATCAGTCCTACCATTCCCAGTTAGCTCACCTTCGATGCTACACTGCATGCTCGGAGCTCCAGAGTGGAACTTGCCTCCTTTCCCTGCCCTGTTCCAAGACTGATACCTGCAGTCAGTGGTACAGCATTTACATTTGATGATTGTCTGCTTTGGATAAATGGCCAGATCAATTTCAAGCTGTTGATTCTCTCCTACACTGGCCTCTGATTGGCACTTTGCTTAAGCAACATCTAAACTTCCTAAATGTATAGCAGAGGGTGGAAATATTAAGAGGTGTGCCCTCCACTCTGCAACTAAATGTCAGACAGGGTAAAGATTGGCTGCAGTATAATCTTTTACTGTTGTCTTTCTGGATGATAACACTTGTGATGATGATAATGATATGTACCTCTTTGTTTGCAGTCAGTCTCACCAACTACATGCCGCGGTTTGGATTTCTGCACCTGGACTTCCCTGTGGTGATTGAAACTTTTTGCAAGTATCCTTTCCTTGTTATCTGAACCACAGAGCTGCCGTGGAGAGCTAAAAACGTGATTGAAAGTGCCCAGGATGACATTTGAGGGGGTGGCTTTGAATCTGTATCCAGGTATCGGAGTTGGAGCTGCCCTCAATAACCCTCTCATCTCTCTAGCTGACCCGTGCTGCCAGCCCAGAATTCCCCAGTTCACAAGAGAGTACTGCAGCCAGTGGGGAACCCAGGCCTAGCTGGATTTCAGTGTTTTGCTGTGAGTTGTCACCTGGTGTTGCCTCAACCACCTCTGTCAACATTAAGAATGCCCAAAATGCAGGAGGAATCCATTTCAGCCTTTGCTAGTGATTCACTTTGAGGAAGAAGCACATTGGACTTTAAAGATTAACTCTGATTATCTACACAAATACTGTTAAACCTGCTGTGTTTTAACTGCACTTTCTGTTCTTACTTTGGATTTAAAGCATCCACAGTATTTTGTTTTTATTCCTTGTTCCAGTCCTATTCTGCCCCCCAACTCTTCCGAGTATATTGTTGACTGGATCGTTTCAATTTCCTGCTCTCAACCTGTAGTGGAAATATCTTCCACTTTGCTCACTGTTTTCACTCCTCTCTTGCTTTCTGACATTTTGCTCCCCTCAACTTCAGTGGCTCCATTTCAGGCGTTAGGCTGCCTCCTAATATTTGTGATACACCCAAGGACTTCGGTTACACTTCCTCACACCCTGCTTCATGTAAGGATTCAGTTTCAGTCTTTCAGTTTCTCCATCTCTAAGCTGAATTTCTCATCCCTTCTAGTTTGGTTGAATGCCCTCTCTGCTCCCCTAACTATGTGACTTCTGACAATACCAGTCCCAGTATGGTTTGGATGTAGACCCTCCCAACAATACATACCTCAAAGATGCATATTCCCAGCCAGCAGCCCGTGAAATGACTCCAGCATCTGCAGTTCTTACTATCTCTGAGCCCGTGAAATAGAATCCACTTCTGTCTTTGAGGCGCTCATTCACTTCCCTAATCTTATTCCTGTGATGCCAGTTTGCATGTGGCTGAGGTAGTAATCCAAACATTATTACACTTCAGGTTCTGCTTTTTAATTTAGCACCTAAATTCTCATTCTCCCTCAGCAGAACCTCTTTTTTTTTTAGTTCCACCTGTGTCATTGGTACCAACCTGGATACAACCACTGGATCCTCCCCTTCCCACTGCGAGTCCTTCTCGATAGAGCAAATATCCCAAACCTTGGTTCCAGGCGGACAACACAGCAGTCTGGACTCGGGCTCTTTCCTGCAGAGAACAGTCTCACTCCCCCTCATCATACTGTCCCCTCACACACACACACACCACCCTGCCGACTCTCCAATGGCTTCCTGTATCACGTCCTGGCTCATTCACCCTACTGCCCTCACTCACATGCAGACAAACTGTGAAAGCCTCAGACCTCGTGGACAGTTGCAAAGGTTGAGGCTCCTGACCTTAAGATCCCCAGGCCCATATCAGAAGACTCTACCCTAAGTGATGTGACCGCCTCCTGGAATAAAGGTTCTGGTAATTTTGACCTGTGCCACAGTGTCTGCAGCTCGGCCCCCAGCTCAATAACTGATTTACCAGGATGTTCTTGGGGGCGCAGTGTTTTGAGTTATAAAGGGAGGCTGGATAGGCTGGGACTTCTTTCACTGAAGTGTAGGAGGTTGAGAGGTGACCTTATAGAGGTTTATAAAATAAAGAAGGATATCGATGAGGTGAATGGCAGGTGTCTTCTCCCTAGGTTAGGGGATCTGAAGACTAGGATCATATTTTTAAAGTTAGAGGTTTAAATAGATTTAAAAAGGACACGAGGGACAATTTTTTTTACACCAGAGAAAGTGGTTGATGCAGGTAGTCACAACGTTTAAAAGACATTTAGATAAGTACATGAATAAGAAATATTTGGAGGGATATGGGCCAAGTGCAGATATGTTTGGTTCCCACATTCTACAGTCTCACCATATCTGTGTAAATTAATAATTGCTGATTAATTTATTTATTAATATAGCCTACAACACCAAAAAAGAATTAGCACTGCTGGTAACCTTTCCAAAATTGATGAAACAATACAATATTTACAATGCTGATAAAACTTAGTTTCTAATATTAGCAGTTACTGATTTACCTGCATATGCACAAAATTGGAAAACAACTGCTGAAGGCTGAAGTAAAAAGTAGTAGCAAACAACGCCATCTCCCATTGAACTCCCCACTCCGCTCACTCTACCTAGTGCAGTAAACCTGTCTTAAAGCACCTGCTTCCCTCTTTGAACCAAATTCCCAGATATACTCAGCTGGCTGCTGTTTCACTCAAAGTCCCTCTTACACCTCCTTACTGACCTAATTCTTTGTTTCTTTACAAAAACCATGACCACCCCCTTTGCCTTTTGTTGTATGACATCTTTGTCACTTTATCTCTTTCACCATCTATCCTATACCACCTTCCCTTTTGTTTTTCCTCCCCTTTTAAAAACCCACCACATTTCTACCCGATGTAAATTCTGAAGTGGAGACACATTCCATTCCAAGCGTTAATTCATTTTTGTCTCCACAGTTATTGCCAGACCTGCTGAGTATTTCCAGCATTATGTTTTTATTACACGTGCTGCTGCACCTAAAATGTTCAGAAACCGCAGTCAGCCTAACCCCAGCTCACTATAGTGCTGAGCTTGTGTTTCACTTAACCTTTCTGTCCTGGTAGTGCTGCCTTCTCTGTCCTCTAGGTCTGATGATTCATTATCTGTTGTTCTGCCATTGGTGAGTGGATGAAAATCCTCTGTTGTAGCTTTGAAGTAGAGTGCTGATGGGGAGTTACACTGTTTAATAGTCCACTGGGTGCAGGAAGTTTTTTCAGAGAAAAACGTAGGGTAGGAACATTGATTCAGTTGTATTGCAGTTTGGAGAAAATGGTTAAAGTTATTGTACTTGGGTTATATTGCTCTACCAGCATTCCAGAGTTTTAGAACAAAGAACAGTACAGCACAGTATGGGCCCTTCGGCCCACGATGTAGTGCCGATCTATTATCCTACTCTAAGATCAAACTAATCTGCATACCCTTCATTTTACTATCATCCATGTGCCTATCCAAGAGTCGCTTAATTGTCCCTAATGTATCTGATTCTACTACTACAGCTGGCAGTGCATTCCACGCATCCACCACTCTCTGTGTAAAGAACCTACCTCTGACATCACCCCTATACCTTCCTCCAATCACCTTAAAATTATGTCCCCCCCCAATGATAGTCATTTCCACCCTGGGAAAAAGTCTCTGGCTATCCACTTTATCTATGCCTCCCATCATCTTGTACGCCTCTATCAAGTCACCTCTCATCCATCTTCGCTCCAATGAAAAAAGCCCTAGCTCCGTCAACCTTTCCTCATAAGACCTCCCCTCCAATCCAGGCAGTATCCTGGTAAATCTCCTCTGCACCCTCTCTAAAGCTTCCACGTCCTTCCAATAATGAGGTGATTAGAATTGAACACAATATTCTAAGTGTGGTCTAACCAGGATTTTATAGAGCTGCAGCATAACCTCGCGGTTCTTAAACTCAATTCCCCTGCAATGAAAGCCAACACACCATACACCTTCTTGACAACCCTATCAACTTGGGTTCCCGTAGTAACCTTGGGTATATCCCAAATGGCCCAGGGGACTTATCTATCCTCATGTTTTTCAAAATTTCGAGCAAATCCTCCTTCCTAACACTAATCTGTTCGAGCATATCAGCCTGTTTCACGCTGTCCTCACAAATGACAAGGTCCCTCTCAATGGTGAATACTGAAGCAAAATATTCATTAAGGACCTCCCCTACCTCCTCTGACTCCATGCACAAGTTCCCTCCACTACCCCTGATCAGCCCTACCCTCACTATGGCCATCCTCTTGTTCCTCACCTAAGTATAGAACGCCTTGGAGTTTTCCTTAATCCTACCCACCAAAGCTTTTTCATGCCCCCTTCTAGCTTCTAGCTTAGCTTCTAAGTCCATTCTTCAGTTCCTTCCTGGCTTCCTTGTAGTCCTGTCGAGCCCTGTCCGATCCTTGCTTCCTCAGCCTTAAGTAAACTTCCTTCTTCCTCTTGACTAGATGTTCCACATGTCTTGTCATCCAAGGTTCCTTCACCTTACCATCCCTTCCTTGCCTCAGTGGGGCAAACCTATCCAGTACCTGTAGCAACTGCTCCCTAAACAACTTCCATATTTCTATCGTGCATTTCCTTGAGAACATCTGATCCCAATTTATGCTCCACAGTTCCTGCTTAATAGCATTGTAGTTCCCCCTCCCCCAATTAAATACTTTCCCATACCGTCTGCTCCTATCCCTCTCCATGACTATAGTAAAGGTCAGGGAGTTGTGATCACTATCACCGAAATGCTCTCCCACTGAGAGATCTGACACCTGGTTTGTTGCCAAGCACCAAATTCAATATGGGCCTCCCCTCTAGTTGGCCTATCTACATATTGAGTCAGGAATCCTTCCTGAACACACGTGACAAAATCTGCTCCATCCAAACTATTTGCACTAAGGAGGTTCCAGTTGGTATTAGAGAAGTTAAAGTCACCCATGACAACAACCTTATTACTTCTGCACCTTTCCCATCTGCCTCCCAATTTGTTCCTCAGTGTCTCTGTTGCTATTGGGGGGGGTTTTATAGAAAACTCCCAATAAAGTGACTGCTCCTTTCTTGTTTCTGACCTCCACCCATACTGACTCAAAAGTCAAACCCTCCTCGACGATCTCTCTTTCTGCAGCTGTGATACCATCCCTGATTAGCAATGCCACTCCACCACCTCTTTTACCTCCCTCCCCAGTTCCTTTGAAACATCAAAACCCCAAAACATCTAACAACCATTCCTGCCCCTGTGATACCCAAGTCTTCGTAATGGCCACAACATCGTAGCTCCAAATACTGATCCGTGCTCTAAGTTCATCACCCTTATTCCTGACACTTCTTGTGTTAAAACAGACCCGCTTCAACCGTCACACTGACTTCAACTTTGCCCTATCAACTGTCTATCCTTCCTCATACTCTCTGCATGATGCATCTGCCTGTACACCAGCTATTCCATCCTGGGATCCATAGCTCTAGTTCCCATCCCCCTGCCAAACTAGTTTAAATCCTCCCAAAGAGCTCTAGCAAACCTCCCGCCCAGGATATTGGTGTCCCTCCAGTTCAGGTGCAACCCATCCTTCTTGTACAGGTCCCACCTTTCCCAGAAGGCATCCCAATGATCCACATATCTGAAGCCCTCCCTCCTACACCAGCTCTCTAGCCAAGTATTCAGCTGCACTCGCTCTCTATTCCTAGCCTCACTAGCCCGTGGCACCGGTAGTAATCCTGAGATTACTGCTCGGCTCTTCCTGCCTTTTAGCTTCCAACCTAACTCCCGATATTCACTTGTCAAGTCATCATCCCGTTTCCTAGCTATGTCATTGGTACCGATGTGTACCACAACTTCTGGTTGCTCTCCCTCCCCCTTAAGAATCCTGTAGACTCGATCCGAGACATCCCTGACCCTGGCACCCGGGAGGTAACGTACCATCCGGGAGTCTCATTCGCGACCACAGAATCTCCTGTCTGTTCCCTAACCATTGAATCTCCTATCACTATTGCTCTTCTATTCTCCCCCATACTCTTCTGAGCCACAGAGCCAGGCTCAGTGCCAGAGACCTGGCTGCTATGGCTTTCCCCTGGTAGGTCCCCCCCACCAACAGTATCCAAAGTGGTATACTTATTATTGAGGGGAAAAGCCACAGGGGATCCCTGCACTGCCTATTCCCTTTCCCTCTCCTGACGGTCACCCAGCTACCTTTGACCTGTAACTTAGGTGTGACTACCTCCCTATAACTCGTCTCTATCACCCCCTCAGCCTCCCGAATGATCCGGAGTTCATCCAGCTCCAGCTCCAGTTCCCTAATGCAATCTGTGAGGATCTGGATTTGGGTGGCACTTCTCGCAGGTGAAGTCAGCAGGGACACTAGTGGTGACCCTTACCTCCCACATCCTACAAGAGGAGTATGCAACTGCCCTAGCTTCCATCCCCTCTAAATTGCCAAAAGAGATAAAGAGAAAGGAAAATAAAACCTCACCATACCGACCCTCCACACAGTTTTTTTTTGGTTAGAGGAGGAGGCTGTAGTGTTTCCGGTTTAGCCACTGCCCGAATATATTAGTTCATTTACCCAGCAGTCCTCACATCCACATTTGCTCCTGCTCAGCCTTCACTTCGCCTATTCACGAGGCAAGTATTTTATACACAAGCTTACCTTCCCGGCTGCCCCCTGGCTCGCACTCTCACAACTCCCACCACTGAAATAGAGCCAACCTATGTCAAAATAGAGTTTTGGTCTAGTCCACAAATCAAATTCTACCCCGTTCATTTGAATTCAGTTGAAATGAACCTTAAAGTTTTAAAAAAAAGCTAGCATCATTAAAACTAAGTCTTGAATAAATCCAGGTGGTTAACTAATGGAGGGATGGGCACATTGCCAGTGGCACCGTGAATGAATGAATAAATAAAGATGTCTGGTTTGGTCAAATGTGGAAATGATGAACAATGGCTGATTTCCTTTATTGGACTGTTCCAGATACCTGCTTTCCCTGTCTGGAGCCCTGGCTGTTATCAATGCTGTGCCGTGCTTTGCCCTGGATGGACAGTGGATGCTGAGTTCTTTTCTGGAAGCGACACTAAGTTCACTGGTTGTGGAAAAGCAGAACCGAGAACTCATTGCTTTTTTTATCTTGCTCTTTGGCAGTGCTCTCCTGGCTTCTAATGTGGTCCTGGGGCTCTGGATGGTAACCACAAGGTAGCACTTTCGGCTGTCCTGGACTAGCTCACACTTGGTAGGGTTACCTTTCATCATTGCCTTGTTGGCATCCCTCCCCGCATCTAAATATACACTGGGGATATCGTTGAGCACTGTCCAAGATTTTAACAATACCCTGGGCTGTGCCCACAAGATTTTGCACTCCCTGTACCTCCAGGTGAGGTTCCTCACTAGGACATTGCAGTTGGAAAACCTGCGTATAGCTGTCGTGCAGTGCCATGTATTGTGTAGTATTGTGGCTTTTAATTCCAAGCAGCAATGGAATTTGAGTTTGATGGCTTCTTCTGCCTTTTTAGACAGATTTGGAAATGCGAAGTCTCCTGTTGAGTGGCAGTGAGCACCAGGTACAGAGTTTGGTACTTCATTCTAAATATGCAGCAGCCAGACGAACAGAATGTGTCTTTGAAATTGGAATCGAAGGCAACAAGGTGTTAAAAACAACCAGCAAACGTAGGAAATACAATAGTATATGTATCCATGAGGACTATATACTTGGCCAGATGTCAAAATGTTAAGACCACACATGAGAATTACTAACCATTCTCCTCTCTACAGGTACTGTGCTTCCAATAAAACCGAAAGAACTGCAGATGCTGTAAATCGGGAACAAAAACAGAAGTTGCTGGAAAAGCTCAGCAGGTCTGGCAGCATCTGTGAAGAAAATATCAGAGTTAATGTTTTGGGTCTGGTGACTCTTCCTGAGAGCTGATGTAGCTGGGAAAACGTTGGTTTATATGCATTGATGCGTAAATGGCTTTATATACTGTGTGTTGAATGTTTGGCTGTAACTCCATTTGAATTGAATGGTGTCTAACGTGATGGTAGGGGAATGGAGAGCTTTCATGCAGGGATCAGAGGCTAGAGATGGACAATGGCTAAACACGTCTCTGTTTGCCTGAAGGCTGATCTGTCTTTGATCTGTGCGGCTGTAAGCCAATTTTATTCCTTTTCCCCTTCCCATACCAATCTTATTGAGGTTTAACAAATCGTGACGGGTATAGATAAGGTGAGTGGCAGGGATATGGGCCAAGCGCAAGCAGATGGGACTAGGTTAGTTTGGGATTATGTTTGGTATGGACTGGTTAGACAGACAGAACTGTTTCTGTGCTCTATGATTCATGACTCTATACGTACATTTCATCACTAGATTTTGCAAGTCGCTGCCATGACTTGGGAATGGTTATGGATGTGAACACGGTTTGTCCTGGAGCCCCCAGTGCATTTGCAGTTGCTTGTGATGCCTCCCCAGTTGGCAGCAGGACCATCAGCACCAGAGAGACACAGATGCTGTGTGAGTCCCAGGGTAGGGGGGGTCCAAAACTGCAGGGCATAGGTTTACAGTGAGAGGGGACCTGTTCACGCAGAGGGTGGTGCATGTATGGAATGAGCTGCCTGAGGGAGTGGTAGAGGCTGGTACAATTACAACATTTGAAAGACATCTGGATGGAAACATGAATAGGAAGGGTTTAGAGGGTTATGGGCCAAATGCTGGCAAATGGGACTAGATTTATATAGGATATCTGGTCAGCATGGACTGGTTGGACCGAAAGGTCTGTTCTGTGTTGTATGACACTATGCTATTAATTACAACTCTGTTTTCTGTCAGTGAATTATACCTTTCTTTGCAAATTGACTTTTGCTGGGTCTTCTACAGCAAATTCAGTCAATAGAAAAAAATGGAAAGTGACCATTTTAATAGCATTTAGGTTCTTGTAAATAATGGTTGTGAATTTTTTTCAATAGTATGCTTCAATATTGCTTCATCTTGAAATTTTGTCCATCGTCAGAATTTTAAACCGTTGAATTAGAAGGGAATATGATATTGGATTTAAAAAATCAATGTGGGATTGAGGGCATAACCCTGGGATTTACAGTTCCATTATCACTGAGCTAGCTGGGTTCTGTAGGAATTCTGTCCTCATTGTCTTTACTTTCAGTGAAACACCTAATATTTGTTTGGAGACTTTAAACTCCATTCTGCTCCAGCTTGACAGTTGAAGCCTTCCACACCCCCACCCTGCCCTGCTCCCAAATTGCATATGTAAGTTAATTGTTTTGGAACCGTTGAATCTTGCAGGCAACAATTAATGTGGGAAAAGGGGCAGCATTGCTTTTACATAATTTCAAGTCTTCACTGAATATCTGTTTTCAATGAGAAAGCGGAAGGGGGTTGCAAGACCATGGACATGGTCCAAATGTCCTTTTTCTTTGTTAGAATGGGTCACCCTGAGGGGAGCTGAACTTAAAAACCCTTCTTGTTTTATACAGTCAGAATGACTCTAACGCTATATCGGGGCACATGCAGGGTGCTGTTCCCCTGGTGTGCTGGGACAAATAAATGCAGCTTATAGAGTCCTCATACTTGTACCTTTATGGCAATGTCTGTGTACTTTTCTCAACATAATCCCAATGCCTGAGGATTTTTTTTTTCCAAACAGTTGCCCGCTTATTCAGTTGCTATCATATTCTTCTCATGAACATCTTTAAATTCAACTGACCCATTACCATCTTCTTTAAATGCAACCGTACGCATTACCTTTCACTTCCAAACGCCCAAAGTGTTTTTTTTTAATATATTTACTCGTGAGATGTGGGTGTCGCTGGCTGGGCCAGCATTTATTACCCGTCCCTAGTTGCCCTTGAGAAGATGGTGGTGAGCTGCTTTCTTGAACCACTGCAGTCCATGTGTTGTAGGTAATCCACAATGCCCTTAGGGAGAGAACTCCGGGATTTTGACCCAATGACACTGAAGGAACGGCAATATATTTCCAAGTCAGGATAGTAAGTGGCTTGGAGGGGAACTTGCAGGGGGTGGTGTTCCCATGTATCTGCTGCCATTGACCTTCTAGATGGTCACCTGTTTGGAAGGTGCTGTCTAAGAATCTTAGTGAATTTCTGCAGTGCATCTAGTAGATAGTACACACACTGGATACTGAGTGTGGGTGGTGAGGGAGTGGATGTTTGGTCCATATCTGTTTCTAGTTGTGAGCTAGTCAGTTTTTCACCTTATTCTCTCCACAGGTATTGCAGTGTTTTCAATATTGTGTGGTTCTGTTCTAATCTACCTTTGGCTCTGCTTTACCACTTTCTAAACTATTATTCCCGTTTGTGTGTGTATGAGACAATCCTGGCATGTTAAAAACTCTAACTCTAATTTGATCATTTTATTGCATTTATCATTGATGGGTGATACTGGCAAAGTACCATTTATTGACGACTCTTGGTTACCACAAGAAGTGTGTAAATGAAAAGTTAACCACTTGTAAGCTGTACCATGTAAAGATTTCACGCCCTTTCCTGAAGAATTTTTAGTATTCTGATCCATGGTTCTGTAACTTCCATCATTGCTAGGGCAAGGAATTAGCTCCCTAATCTGCCACAGCAGGAATGGGGGATCAAACCCTGCTCCTTTGGCATCAATCTGATTCACTCTGGTTCTCCAGCCAATTAAGATAACTGCCTCCCACAGGGTCTGAGTTACAGTGGCAACACTTAACTGCATGTTGCAGTCAGCTATGGATAGTGATAGTGGAAGCTCCAATTTCTTTGACCAGGACACAGTTTCACTCTTACTACCTGGCTTCGGGAGGGTTAGAAGGATCTCTAAGTTGATAATTAACCCGTTTTGGCCATGTTGTGAATGCAGTTTCCTCGGCTAGCAAGTCTTGCAATGGGACTCGAACCCAGAGCTTCTGGCTCAGAGGCAGGAACATAAGACCTCCTCAGTGAATCGATTGTAATGTCATAATTCAGCTACATTGCGCATTATGCTTTCTCCCCTCCTGTATTTAAGTGATTGATACATACAGGTCTTCTAGCAGCATATGAATATCCACTCCAACACAGATGAGGGAGGGATTATTCTATCATCTCAGCAGCAGGGAAATGGTTCAGAAGCAGCAGAATTATTGCCACATCAAGGCTGGCACTGCACTAATCCACTGGTTTAAGCTGTATCTGGTGGATCTAATGGGAAATATCGTATTTGCACTACCTGGTTTATTGTTTGTCTTGTCTACATTGCAGGTGTTTCTACAAGAAGTGACCCTCCATTTTGTAATGATGTCATGTTTGCATGAAATAAATTGTAACTGCAATCTCTGGGGCTATTTGTGTTTCAATTTTACAGCTTTTAAGTTTGACCAATATGTGATTGAGAACAAGACCATTTTCCTTCTTTGTTTGAACGTAGTTCAGATTTCCTTGAAAACATTGTACAATTTAGAATTTTCATGACCAGAAAGAATATTGGAAGAAAATTAAGAAAGAACTTCCTAAAGTGTGCTGAATATATACTTGGAAAGAAAACCATTACAGGGGAAAAATGGCGGCAATTTCAATGGGCACAGGCACAGGGGGACATTTAGCTCGATTAATCAACAAATAATTCCACCACTCCCGATGTCGTCTTATCATCGATCCCAAAACACAATGCAGTATTCCAATCTCTACCCATTTCCTTGTATCAATAATCTGCTCCACTGTCTCCAGCTGCTTTAGTGTCTCATCTAACAGAAGAACAAGCCCCAAAATCGAATCCTGCGCGCTTTCCGCTGCTGCATTTGTGCCATGTGTACATTATTAGTGGAACATTAGCTGAGAGAGTGGGATCAGCTCTGCATGAATCTCACCCTTTTACACACACACACAAAGTTCAAGTTGTGCAGCAAATGTCAATCAACTCAGCAGCCATACCAAGCCCTCTGATGATAGGCACAGGTAGATCTCGGCTCCAGGACATCTCTGCAGGTGTTCCTCAGGGTAGTGTCCTCAGCCCAGCCATCTTCAGCTGCTTCATCAATGACCTTCCCTCCATTAGAAGTTCAAAAGTGGGGATGTTCGCCTATGATTGCACAATATTCAGCACCATCTGCAACTCCTCAAATACTGAAACAACCTGGCTTGGACTGAAGAGTGTCAACTAACATTCGTATCTCACAAAGGGCCGGGCAATGGACATCTTCAACAGAAGAGAATTTAACCATCACCCCTTGACATTCAATAGCATAACCATCTCTGAATTCCCACCTCAAGGGTCGCCCTGTCACTCTGAGGATGTGGCCTCCATTGCAATCTCTCCCACTCATCTTTGCCATGTCCACTCTTTCCAGGCCTCTTTGTTCAGTAAGTTTCAAGCAGACCCCCCACCACCACCCTGCTCCACCCCTTTGTTCAAAACTCTGTCAGGGACACACCCAGAGTCCTCAGCTGCTCCCTATGTGAGATGCTGCCTGACTTGCCAAATTTTTCCAGTGTTTGTTCTTGAATTTCATTATCTGTTTTACCAGCATTTTCAACCCAATGTGCTTCTCTGAATACCCTGAGTGCTTCTGTTCCTAAATCCCTGTTATGCCCCAGGTTAGTCACACTCACTTGTAACTTCGATTTATTGTGCAACATCACCTCATACTTGCAGACTTTGAATTGCATCAGTCGCATTATATATTCCACTGAGACAGAAGGGTAGGGGAGTACAAAACTAGAGGACATAGGTTTAGGGTGAGAGGGGAAAGATTTGAACTTGAGGAGCAATTTTTTTTCATATGGAGGGTGGTGTGTGTATATGAAATGAATTGCCAGAGGAAGTGATAGAAGCGGGTACACTTACAACATTTAAAAGGTATTTGGTCAAGTACGTGGATAGGAAAGGTCTGTGGCAGCACTGTGTCTCTAGACTGCACCAGGCCAAATCTCCAGACCAGGCCGGGCTTCAAAACTCGATGCCTTGCTTCCAGTAAGTAAGGGCCTCCCCTCCCCACATGGCCTCTGGTCCGGGCCTCCCCTCCCCAAATGGCCTCCGGTCCAGGACTCCCCTCCCCACATGGCCTCCAGTCCAGGACTCCCCTTCCCACATGGCCTCCAGTCCAGGACTCCCCTCCCCACCCTTGCCTCCGGTCTGGGACTTGCCTCCCCCCGGTCTGGGACTCGCCCCCCTGCAGCATCCCTCCAGTCCGGGACTCGCTCCCGGGACTAGCCTCCACGCTCCAGCCTCCAGTCCGGGACTCCCCTCTCCACGCTGTGCTCTGGTCTGGGACTCCCCTCTCCACGCTGTGCTCCGGTCCGGGACTTCCCTCTCCGCGCTGTGCTCCGGTCCAAGACTTGCCTTCAGGACTAGCCTCCCGTGTTGGCCTTTTCTTGATGCCTCCCAAACCGGCCTGGTCTCAGACTGGCCAGCAATGGCCTCTGGTCTGGGAGTCACCTCCTCCATTCCCTTGGGGTAAATTTAGAAGTAGTAAGTTTGGGAAAAAGAAATGAGGAAAGAGAGGGGTTAAAAAATGAAACTGACAGAGCAGGTCTGGTTGGAGTGACCTACTCTGCTGCATCTTGCTGAACCAGGCAAATGGGACTGATTCAGTTTAGGAAACCTGGTCAGCATAGACAATTTGGGCAGAAGGGTCTAGTTCTGTGCTATATGACTCAATGACAAGCCAATTATCCCCAGGATCATTCTTGTAAATCTCCTCTGGACCCCCTCCAACGCCAGCACATCCTTCCCTAGATATGGGGCCCAGAACTGCTCAATATTCCAAATGCAGCCTGACCAGAGCCTTATACAGCCTCAGCAGTACATCTCTGTCCTTGTATTCTGACCCTCTTGAAATGAATGCTAACATTGCATTTGTCTTTCTAACTGTCAACTGAACCTGCATGTTAACCTTAAGAGAACTATGAACTAGAACTCACAAGTCCATTTGTGCTTCAGATTTCCAAAGCCTTTTCCCCATTTGGAAAACAGTCTATGCCTCGATTCTTCCTACCAAAGTGTATAACCTCACACTTCCCCACACCGTGTTCTATCTGCCACTTCTTTGTCTACCCTCTGAGCCTGTGCAAGTCCTTTTGCAGCCTTCCTGCTTCCTCAACACTACCTGTCCCTCCACCTATCTTTGTGTCATATGCAAACTTAGCAACAGTGCCCTCAGTTGCTTTATTCAGATCATTAATGTATAATGCGAATAGCTGTGGTCCCAATATGGACCCCTGTGGAACTCTACCAGTCACTAGCTGCCAGCCTGAGAAAGACTCCTTTATCCCCATTCTCTGCCTTCTGCCAGTCAGCCAATGCGCTGTCCTTGTCAGTACCTTACCCCTAACATCATCTTTTATTTTATTTAGCATCCACCAGTTTATCAGAGGCCTTCTGGAAATCCAAATAGATTATGTCCACTTTCTCTTCTTTGCCTCCATTACCTCCTCAAAGAATTCTAACAGATTTTGTCAGGCAAGGCAGCATGGTGGCTCAGTGGTTAGCACTGCTGCCTCACAGCGCTAGGGTCCCGGGTTTGATTCCAGCCTTGGGTAACTGTCTGTGTGGAGTTTACACATTCTCCCCGTGTCTCTATGGGTTTCCTCCGGGTGCTCCGGTTTCCTCACACAGTCCAAAGCTGTACAGGTTGGGTGGATTGGCCATTCTAAATTGCCCCATAGTGTCCAGGGATGTGCAGGTTAAGAAGATAGATTGGGAATAGATTTAAATTGCTGCCCTAGTATTGCGCAAATAAAAATATTTAAATCATAAATAAATAAATACAGCCTTTCACAAACTTCAAACATAACAAGGCACTTTATAGCCAATGAACTTATCTTGAACTGTTAGCATACACAGCAGCTATTTTGCACACAAATTGCCTTAAACAAACAATGATGATGACTAAGAGATAGTAAGAACTGCCGATGCTGGAGTCAGAGATAACACAGTGTGGAGCTGGAGGAGCACAGCAGGCCAGACAGCATCAGAGAGCAGGAAAGTTGACGTTTCAGGTCGGGACCCTTCTTCAGAAATGGGGGAGGGGGAAGGGAGCTCTGAAATAAATAGAGAGAGGAGGGGAGGGACTGGGGAAGCGAGGTGGGATGGTGATAGGTGAGTGCAGGTAGACAGTGGTGGGAGGTGGGAGGGGTGGATAGGTGGAAGAGAAGATGAACAGGTTGTGTCAGGTCAAGGAGGTGGGGATGAGAGGGAGTGTTGGTCATGGGATGAGGCTGGGAGTGGAGAGATTTTGAAACTAGTAAAGTCCACATCGAGACCATCGGGTTGTAGGCTCCCAAGGCGGAATATGAGGTGCTGCTCCTCCAGTTTCCAGGTGGCATCAATGTGACACTGGAGGAGGCCAGGATGGACATGTTGTGCAGGGAGTGGGAGGGGGAGTTGAAATCATTCGTGACTGGAAGGTGTTGTCATTTGTCACGAACAGAGCGCAGGTGCTCTACAAAGCAGTCTCACCAATGTAGAGGAGGCCACTTTGGGAGCAGCAGATGCAGTAGACCACATTGACGGATGTGCAGGTGAACCTCTGGCTGATATGAAATATTTGTTTGGTGCCTTGAATGGAGGTGAGGGGGGAGGTGTAGGGGCAGGTGTAGTGCTTCCTGCGGTTGCGGGGAAAGGTGCCGGGGGTGGTGGGGTTACTGGGGAGTGTGGAGTGGATGAGGGAGTCACGGAGAGAGCGGTCCCTATGAAAGGCAGATAGGGGTGTGGAGGGAAATATCTGTTTGGTTGTGGGGTCGGATTGCAGGTGGCGGAAGTGGCAGAGAATGATACATTTGATACGGAGGTTGGTGGCATGGTACGTGAGGACATGGGGGATTCTGTTTTGTTTTTGTTGGGAGGGAGGGGATGTGAAGGCAAAAGTGTGAGAAACGCAAGAAATGCGGTCAAGCGCATTTTCGACCACCGAAGAGGGGAAGTCACGGTCCTTGAATTAAGAGGATGTTTGGGAGTGGAATGCCCCATCTTGGGAGCAGACTTGGCGGAAGCGGAGGAATTGGGAATAGGGGATCACATTCCTGCAGGAAGGTGGGTGAGACGAGGTGTAGTCCAGATAGCTGTGGGAGTCGGTGGGCTTGAAATAGATGTCAGTTTTGAGGCGGTTACCAGAGATAGAGACAGAGAGGTTCAGGAAGGAGAGAGCAGTATCAGAGATGGTCCAGGTGAATTTGAGGTTGGGGTGAAAGGTGTTAGTAAAGTTGATGAACTGTTCAAGCTCCTCATGGGAGCACAAGGCAGCGCCGATACAGTCATCGATACACAGTCAATGATGAGTGTGTGCGCAAGTAACATGCTGCCATTGCTCATTCCAAATGCATTTCTTGAATCAAA